AAAGGAGGGGCTCATGAAGGCGCGAAGCTTACGCGAACGGATTCAGACTGAAAGCTGACCCAAAAACAGGGCCCCCTGGTCAAAACTCTCTTTCCTGAGATTGGCTGCGAAAATCTTTCGGCCACCAAAGTAGACCAAACCCAGAAACCCAAACAGGGCAAAGTCCAGGAGCTCATTCGTGGCTTGGGATGGTTTGGAGAGGGGTGATGTCCCGCTTCGATTCCAGGAAGAGGGGGCTCAACTCCCCAAACTCCCAAACCGAAGCGGGGTACAAAGTGACTGTTGATCAGCTTGCAACTTGTGGTTTGGAGGGCGGTTCTCCAATTTTTACTCCGCGAGAAGCAGGGGTCCAAATCCAAATCCAATCCAAATCACCCATTCAGGGTTACCTGATGACTCAAGACTCTTGATACCTTGGCATCAAGCGTATTTCAACCAAAGCCTTAGGCCGGGCCGTGCCTGTGCGCGGTTGTACAAGTTGTCGAGATCAGGGTCCAAATGCTTCACCTGCCATGGCATGAGAGCTGCAGCTAGATTCCCAAATGTTGGACTCAAAAGGCGCCCATGCTCTTTGCAGCTTAAGGGGCCACAAAAAGGTGCAAAGGCATCCCCCTTTCTGGGTGATAAATGGATGGGGACTCTGAAACAAGAAATGTAATTGCCGTTCATTTCCTTTGCGGAAAAATGCCTATGCGCCAAGTGCGTGGTGAGATTGTGATTGCGTGTGTGTGCGCGTGCGTTTTTCTTGGCATCTTTTAGATTGGTTCAAAGGACAACGAAAAGAAAACCCATCATTCTGGGGGTTCAAATCCATATTTCGACACGTACCCATGCATATGCGCCATGGCCAAAACTCCGCGAATTGTCGGCCATGGTCATGGTCCCTGTAGAAGGAAGCCTTAGTAGGAACACATATACTCTGTAGCACCCAGTTTGTGGAGGGCTGGTAGACGTAGAAAAACAACCCAAAAAATGGGTACCCTCAAAAAACACCCACCCCCCACTCCAAATACCCGCTTTTCCAGGGTGTTATTTTGAAACAACTGGCTTTCCGCGGTAAATACCTCCTTTTTTGGTCAGAGGCTAACATGACACCCAAGAATTGGGTTTCCTTTAACTGGTAGTTTGGAGTTGGTGGTTGCGGAGTGGTTTCCCGTTCATCCTCAAGAACCGGCGCTTCAAATCCAAATCCAAACCAATCCAAACCGCCAACCGGGGGGGGTGGTGGGGGGAAGTGGTGGGGGGGGGTGGTGGGGGGGGGTGGTGGGGGGGTGGTGGGGGGCGGTGGTGGGGGGGTGGTGGGGGGGTGGTGGGGGGGGGAGGGTTCCACCAGAGGTTTCACTAGGGTTCCACCAGGGCTCCACCAGGGTTCCGATGGGATACGCTGGGACTTGGCACCCGCGACTCCTTGGACAATCCGCCGAGGCCACCGGCTCGACGTACTGCAGCACGGTGCTCAGCAGATCTGCGCGATTGGCGCCTGCCGTCCACAGGAGCTCAGGAGTTGAAACACCCGGGGAACCCCCCCGAAAAAAACGGGGGATGGCCTCCATTTGCTTAAGCTTCGTGGGTGTCCAATGGTGATACACTCCCTTTAAAGCCAACAAGGGATTAAAAAAAAAAAAAACTCAAGGAAATGGAAGCTAGAAGGTCACATCCTGGGTGGATTGGGCAAAACAAGTATACAAACTGGTTGTGGCTTGCCACTAAGATGGGGTTTGGACTCCCCCAAAAGAACCTGAAGTCAAAGAACTCAGGGAGCTACCTGTTGGCTTCAGCTTCGCATGTGCACCGCCGGGCAAAGGGGGACCCTCCCACCAATTAACATGGAACCTGACGCTCGGGGGGTCCTGCAAGACCATTGTGCTTTTAAAGGGAACCCTCGTGTTGATTGGTGGGATTGCAACCAACCCAAAAAAACTAGACCCTCGAAACAAGCACACACACAAAAAAACAAACAAACACAAAACAACAACTCACACAGACATATATATATATATATATACAGACCCAATCGGGAAAAAAGGAAAAAACAAAACACTTTCAAGCGTCTCACCCTAATGAAAGCGGTTGAGTTCGTTTGAGCCTTGCGAGGTGCCGACCAAGCAAGGAGCCGGACCAAACTCACCAACTCACCGGCAGCACTTGGCACGTGGCTGAAAAGCCTGAGGCATCGGTGGTCCTTTTGGTTGTCCCCCTAAAACCAAGCTTGAGAAGGGTAACTCGAAAATCGAGCACACCCAATGAACAGCAACAAAATGAGTGGTTGTCCTTTGGCTACCCCTAAACCCAACCAAAAAGGGTTTCCCTAAAGGCCTACACACCCACAATTTATTTCACCCGTGCAATTCAGCGAAGTGGACCCATGATCAAAGGGCAAAATTATCAGTATCGAAAGGACATGGCAAAATTGGGTTGTTCGGGGTTTCCCTATATTTCCAATCTAAACACACCACCCCTACCAAGGGAAACTCAGGTGTTCAAAACCATCCAAAAGGAAAAACATGGGCTCCTTTATCATTCAGGTAGGGATTGATGTCCACCAGTCAATCTTGATGTGGCTCCCTACTAAAATTCGAATTGGACATCTTGGTTGTCCTGGTCTTTGTGGGCAGTCGCTTCCCCACTTCCCGCGCAAATCCGGAAAGCGCACTGGGATCTCGCAGCAGCGTTCGCGCCACATGTCCTGCCTGAGGCTTCGGCGCATGGGTCACGGTTCCAACTGATTCTCGAAATAGGAATCGGTCCATTTCCGACTGTGGATGGACAAAAACTTGCACCATCTGAGAAGCCCTGAAATGATACTTTGCCTGTAAATACCAACCAGCAATGGTTTCTTATTGTTTCAAAGCGGTGCAGGACTTCGTCCATCCACAGTATGGCAAGGGTTTCCCTTTCGTTGCCCCAAATGAACAACCAGAAGGTGGTCCAACCGAATCCCACTTTTCAGAAACACGCACGTATATTCCTCTTGAAGTACCTGTTGGGCCAATGGAAAGTGAGTTCCCCTTTGGGGTGATGTTAAAAAAGGGAAAACTGGGGAGGTTTGTGGGGGGTTGAAAAAGGCCGAGCATTTGGGATGGCAATGGATGTGGACAAAGCAGGTGCCCTTCCCGTATCATGGTTTAAAGGGAAGAACTGAGCGCAAGATCTGTCGCAAACCACATGAAGCGATGAGGGCAGTTTGCCCCTCAAAAAGCCCTCCGAGTGCTAAGTGGATCAGTGGCCAGAAGGGTCCTCATTTTATGAAAGAAGCATTGAGTATGCGATCACAGGTCTGAAAGGTACGGGAGCCCAGAACCAGAATGCCTCCGTGTGAATCGCTTGTTTGTGAGAACCTACAGCCAACAGGTTGTGGAATAAGAACCTCAAACACCCACCACAAACCTGCCACAATCTACAACAACAACCTCTGGTAGGTTTCACTGGTCGGCCAACGGGTAACACTCTTGCACCAAACGCCGCTCTCGCGCGCTTAGAGCGCGACAGCGCCCAGCAGGCTCTGGGCAGCTGCATCAACCTGATCGGCACGACTGAGGTCTATGGAAACTAATGGAACATCTGCAAGGTGTGGAACCACCTGGCTACACCAAGTCAGTGAGCAGATTGCTGTGAACCAGTCATGGTTGGAGGGGCTTGATTCAACCTGGGCTACAGGGGAAGCTCTAAACGAAATGCCAAATGCCTACCGTTGGTCATATTTGAAAAGTACCCCGTGAAGTGTGCCCGTGCATCATTTCGCGAATGACAGCGGCAGTTGTTTTGCCCTGCATCGGAAGGCCATGTCGAGCATCTAACAAAACCCTACAGGGAAAATCCTACAAGATCCGACAATCTCAAGCTGTGTTGGCATTGCTAGCTCTCGTGTTACGAAATCAGATACCTGCTTCGCAGGTTCCGAATCTACCTCGGAACCGTGCACAGCACTCCACGAGGCGAGCGCAGCACGCAGGAATCTGCTCCTCTGGCTTTACGTGATACTGTATGTAAGAACAAAAACTGCAGACGCCTCACGTCCTCACACCTCAAACCAAATCCTATGTTCGTAATCCCTTGTGAAACCCCAGCGCTTCCAGTTACCACATTGGTAGGTAACAAGACGAAACCATCATGCAAAGGTCAAAATACCTGGTTACCTACTACAGCAGTATCTGGAAGCACTGGGAATCCCAAACTTTTAGTGGGACGCATCATACATTCAACTCCAAACGCTAAAAGGTAGAACCATGGCCAGGCGACGAGATATCAACTCCTTCCTCAAGCAAACTTGTGCATGCTGTGCGCTCGGAACTGTATGCCCTTCCCTTTGGGACGGGGAAATTGCGATTGCAACCAACCTGTACAATTGGCAGCGGGGGCTGTCGAAAATAGCGGCCCTTTTTTGGCGTCCCCTTTAAAAGGCGGCGCAAGACAGCGGGCCCCCCCGCCAAAAAAGGCCATATTATCCACAGCCCCCCCAGCTGTTGCGAAACATGTTGAAACACTCACTTGCCCAGAACCAACCCCAGAAATTCAACCGGCGATCACCTTTTGAGACCTTGACTCAACCGGGTTGTCCTCAGATCTGCCAAAAGCTTAACTTTCAGTGGGTCAAATGGAAACCCCCACGAAACCAACTAACAACCTATCAACCTAAGGAACCGGACGGCTGGGAACCAAGTAAACATGGCTGCCACCCCCAAAAAAGATGTCAGATGTGGTCAATTTGCGGGCAAGTGAGAACGTCTTCGCCGTCGCCAGGCTTCGGGGGCTGAGGGCACTGGTTCTCCTATCCCCCCCACCTGGGGAGGGTGTCCTCCAATTCCATTTATCTAGTATTCCCAAAAAGGGGAAATGGCACCATGGCTGTGGCTGACCCCGGGGCTGTTTCATTCTGAGCCACAAATGAGTCAAAATCAAAACCTGGTACAAGAATGGTGAACCCAGAACCATGTAAAAGAATTAGAAAAGGCGGCCGCAACTATTTCCGGCTGGGACTGCCCCTTACTAACCTTCATCTACCCAGGTTTTGATTGTGGCTCAAATGGACAATTCCAGACGTCAGCCCCCTCCTCAAATCACCGCGCGCTCCTCTTCTATCGACTCCCGAGCGCTCACTTGGCTCAGTTCCCGCTCCATGTTGCTCCCCTTGCCTCCCGACTCGCTTAAAAAGAAACAGGGCTAAACCACATAGCCAATGAAAACACACAAGCACCAAAATAAGTGTATATATCTATATAACCAAAAAGCAAGCTGAAAACCACATGCAGAATAAGAAAACAAGGACATCTAGCATACCTAGCTCTTTGTTCTTTCTAAAACAGTCCCAGAAACTGAACAAACATGCAAACCACGAAAAGCAAAGACAAACAAACAAGCAAGCAAGCAAGCAAACAAACAAACAAACACACAGGCAAGCAAGCAAGCAAGCAAACAAAACAAAACAAAACAAAACAAACAAACACAACAAACAAACAAAACAAACAAACAAACAAACAAACAAAAAGCAACAGACTTGGATAGCGGCACCGGAACATGGTTAGCTTCCTTGCGGCCTCCCTGAAATACCAACCAATTGGGGTCCGAATCCCACATGAGTGTCAAATTTGGTGGGGGACCCTTTCGTGGGCACCACATAGGTGGGATTCATCTCCAATCACTGTGGAAGTGGGTTCAATTCTTGAAACTCAAACCGCCATATAACCGAAAACCAACATAGCCATAGAGTCATAGCCAGAGAATCCCATTCTAAGAAGCACTAAAATAATAAAAATAGTAGTAATAATTATAATAATGACACTTGCATAATATTGATATCATGTTTAAACCGCAAAACAGCTACCAAGGGCAGTGGAAGTTGCGCTCCATCTTCGCCTTGCGCTCCACGATGGCATCAATGACAGAAGCTGTCCGCCCCACCTCGATTCTGCGGGGCTCCTTGTTGGCGGCCTTGCACGCCTCGGCTGCAGGAATTGTGAATTCCCATGGGAAGTCTAGTAGGAAGTAGCTACAATTGCCATGGGAAGTACAAAGAAGTAGACCAACATCAGAAACTCTCATGGGGAGTAAAGAAAATGAGACCAACATCAGGGAGATGTGCTATCTACAACCAAACCAACAGGGGTTACATGCATAGGGCCCGTTTTTTTTTGGTCGAAGAAACATCTGAGGGCCTTACACCCTCTGGCTGGTTCTCAGCAGGGAATCAGAATTGGAATACCCCTTATAAACCGTCCCCGGTTGGGTTTCCTTTAAGGGAATTCGCTTCCGGTTCGTTCCAAATCCCGGAACGGTCATTCCCTACTGACAAAGGGGAGACCAACATCGGGAGATGTGCTATTTACTTTCAACCAGCAGGGGGTCCCCTAGTTGGAGACAACCTCATTTGCCCTGTTGTCTTTTTGAGTATATAGGTCAAATATGTTGCAGAAATGCCCAAGGCAGGCCGACAAACTAACCGTTTCAGGGGTTCCCCTATTTATAAAGAACGCATTGCGAGCTAACTTTGATAAGCCTCCGAAAAAGCAAACTCCCCTGGACGAACATGAGACCCTTCATTCCAGGGACACGCAAAGGCTGCATGTGATGGGAACCCAAACCATTTCTTGTGAGTTGCTCTTGGGATTATTGGGACCCCCCCGACCCCGAAAACCGGGGTCCAACTGAACGATGTACCAACGCTAAGTGCAAAACTTACGACCTACAAACACCCAAAAACCTGCAAAACCTGCAAACACCTACAACAACCTACAAACACCTACAACACCTGCAAACACCTGCAACACAACCTACGTACGCAGCCTGCTTCGCTGGAAGCAATCCGAGTCGGATCGAGATTTCCCTCGGCGTGTTCCGCTTCGGCTTTTCCCGTCGCTTCAAACTGTCGCCTGGAAGGCCAGGACGATCATGAGGACCAGGCACAAGTGGAAGATGATCTTGAAGGGATCCCAGTCGTTCCTTGCCACGGACGCCCCCAGTGGATCCCACATGGCTGTGGGTCAAAAATAGCTATGTTCCTGTCCTGGTCCCAAAGCGTTCCAAGCATGGTCTGTTCATATGGCTGTGAGTCAAAATCGATTTGCTCACCCCAAAAGGGGTTGCAACCTGGCAAGGACTCAAGCCTGCGGTCACCTGGTGCTTGAACTTTGACCCATACCCATATCATATGGGTGCGTCCCGTACTTTTTTAAAGGGGGGCAAGGGGGAACCCCGCAAAAAATGGCGGTTGCCTGGTGGTTTAAAAAAGGGCAGCCCAAAAAATGACACCTCCTTACCGCAAGTAAGGGAACAAGGAAATCGATTCTCAAACTTACCGTAGTTTCCCATGGCGAAAGCAAGAGAAAACAACACTTGTTGTGAAAGACACATCCAAGAACTGAAATGATTCGGGTGTTTGTTGGTTCCTACCAGCTGACAACTACATAAAAAGGGAACATGAAGGAAACCCCAAGAGCAAAAGCTTGTTCTGCAGATCAAGATGGCAGTGTTCTTAAAATACTGTGGATGGACGAAATCCTGCACCGCTTTGAAACCATAAGAAATCATTGCGGGTTGGCATTTACAGGCAAATTATCATTTCATGGTTTCTCAGGTGGTGCAGGATTTCGTCCCTCCACAGTATGACACCAAGATGGTGGGGTTTTCTTTGGTTTACCTTTCAACCCACCCCAAAAGGGTACCTTGTTGGCCTCCAACAAAGGCCCGTAAAAGGCCGCCGCGATGTTCGGGAACTCGTGGAAAAGATGCAGGCAAAGTTTTGAGTCTGGCGACAGGAACCTCCCGGCTCCCACCAGCGCACCAACGGAGAAACTGAAGGCAGAGAGAATACCTCAGCGGGTTTCCCGAAAAAACCCGCGCGCCGGAGTTTGGGTACGTGCCAAAATTGAGGGACCCCCCAAAAGCGGCGGTGGGTTGTGCTCTTACCCTTCGCCTCAGAATAGCGCGCTCCGATCTGTCTCCCGCCCGCAACATCGCCCCGCCAACAGTTCACACGCAAGCGGCATGTCCAGAAGGTCACGCTACGGACTGAAAAGGGAAATGCAGGGACCCTACAAAATAGGCACGTTATCCTTTTGACTGGTTGCCGTTACAGGGAAACCCTCCCCAAAAAAATGCTGGCAGACATATGATTCAGACATCCAGGATTCTCGGGGGGGGGGGTCCCTTCCCTACGGTCACTTCTTAAGCAGGCATCCACATATCCACTGGATGCTACTGGGATACAAAGCGTGATGGCCCTGGTGAAGCCGGAACGTATGCCGTCCACCAGAAGCATCAGCACTGTGAAGAGAGTTGCGCAGACTGCCCACCAGCTTGCAGCAACTCCTGGCAACTTGCTTCCCTTCATGTTGTTCTTTTTTGGGGTGGGGGGTTGGGGGGGGTGGGGGGTTGATGGGGCGGGGGGGATGGTTGTGAAGGGAAACCCAAGAGAAGACAGCTTGTGGCCGTGGGTTGAAAATCGGCCTATGGTGCTGGATCTGCTCATTTTTGGGGAGGAGCATATCTTTTGCGGGTGGACGAGTGCTTGTTGAAATGAGAAACCAAAGGGCAAACACCATATTGTCATATAGTCTCGGGGTTTCTGAATTCAGTAGCAACCCCGTCCTGACTGTTCCAAGCGGACAGATGCCAAAATCACCATCTCAATGCAGGACACGGTGCCAGCGATGATCCCAGTGATGTTGGCCACTACCCAGGGCTTGCCGTAGCGGGTCAGCTGTGCAGCCAGGACCAGCAATGCAGCGGGAGACCAGGGCTCAATTGCCATGCCAGCCAGCCATGCGAACATCCACTCACTGTGAGGGTCCTCCCATCCTGACGATGCTGACGAGGAACCGATCCAACCCCTGGCAGTGATTCCATTTCCCTATGTAGTAGGTAACCAAGGGAACCACCCTTTAAAAAACCAGAAGGAAAACGGCTGGCTACTTACTATATAGAAGTAACTGGGATCCACTGGACCTTGATACAACATGTTTGAACCACCTTTGTTTAAACAGCCTCCTTTGTTTTCCATTCTAGGAGCAAAGCTTGCCCCCATCCTGAGCCACATTCCTCGTGGGATTTTTTGGACAGAAACAGCAGCACGCGAGCAAGGCCGCCAAAGCCGTAGGCCAAGCCAGTGGAGCACATCAACCTGATGTGCAGCTTTGACAAGGGTCATTCTAGGGGTTGATTCCCCATTCTTTTCAAGGGGGAGTTCCTTTTCCACTTTAAAAGAACGATATTTATAGGGGTTGATTCCTATTCCATTCTTGTCAACCATCGTTCTTTAAACCAAAACCGGCTGTTTCCCTCTAGCGCCAAAATTGCAACATTTTTTAGAGCAGCCCAAGTCCATGCTTCGGGGTGTGTGTTCTTTTGAAGGGTACCTTTTTGTTGGGTGGTGTTAAACAAAAGTTCTAGGGGTTGATTCCTTTTCCATTCTTTTCCAACCATCGTTCTTAAACCAAAAATCCCCAGTGTTTTTGATGGTTTCTGAAAAGAAGGATCCCTGGAAAGAATGGGGAAGGTACCCCTGGGGTCCGCTTCTTTCCCTTCCGCATACTAAGTCGAACTAAAAGCCTTCAATTCACAATACATCTGCAATGGTTAACCCTTCCAAAAAATAGGGACATCTATTTAGACCCCTTTGTCTACCTCTGCTTTTGCCCGCAATCAAACATCAAATGTTTGCTTTTTGGTCCATGCTTGCACCTCATGACACATCACTTCAAAAGAACTCCCCAGGGGCCACGTTGGAAACCCTGGACTTTAGGGTTCGAAAACGGCTTTCTGTGAGTCGCCCCTGGGAACTTTTAGAGCCAAAGGGCATTGTGAAGGCGAAACGAAACCTTTTCCGCAGCTGCAGCCAGCTCAGGGTCACCAACAAGCTGCAGCAGCAGGCCGCCACCACCACGAAGTCTGCGACCCATCCCGGGATCGCGGTGCCCCAGTGAGCGCAATTCGCACCTAAGGCGCGAGCTCCACGTCGGGGAAACTGAGGCGAAACCAAAATGACAAACTGTCAAAAAGGTAAGACAAGTGGTCTGGGAATCAAACAAAAAACGCGGCAAAATGAAAGCTAAGTCGTCGCGGTACCCTTTTCAGCCTTGCTTTAAAGGAAACCAAAAGGAAAACCCGTATTGGGGCGTTTGGCTTCCCTTTTGCGTCCCGCCTTCGATGCCGATCATCAGCTCCATCTAAACCATCCTTGAGCCCTGGAAACTCGCGCACGACCATTGGAGCTGCGAAGCCCTCTCTTGTAGGCTGTGAGTTGTCCCGGTTCGACACTTGGGTTTCCCAGCCAAACCAACATGTTTCCCAGCAAAAGACACCTACACACCAACATGGACGCCCTTTTTTGTGGCTTTCGAGGGAAGCCAACAGCAGACCAAGCATTCTGCGGGGGTCTCCCAAAAAACACACACAGCCTATCATCCATTTGCTTAAGTCCCTGGAAAAAAATGAAAATATGTCCAGTAGTGAAATCGATTCCCTTGTAAAATCAAAAGGGAAAAAAATACTCCTCTCGCAAATGGAAGCTATGAATTCGGCCGTTGAAAGGCTCCCAATCTAAAACGGAAGCCCGATTCGCCCTCAATCGCTCGAACCGGCTCGCCAAGGAGTCGGAACTATGAGCCCGGGCACCGGTCTTCCAAAGAATTACTCTTCAGTTAGTAAGTTGTTAAGCTAAGTTACAACCTGTGGGACATGGAATCCACTTTTGTGATAACAGAAAGGGCCTCACAAAGACTAACCCGCCGTATAAAGAGGGGATACCCTTCTATCACAGAAGTGGGGATAAACTTCTTGATCCCACAACCCTCATTAGAACCAAAGTGAACCAGCGCCATGTTCAAGCCAGACCGTGTCAGAGAGCGTATACGGATGGCCAAGTATCCGTGCCAGGGACCAATAAGGACGGATAGATTGCCCTATGAATGCCGGCTGACCACCACCTACCCACAACATGGTCACTCCCCTTGCAACAGTTGCCCCGGCCTGCAGTGTCACAGCATGGCAGGAGCTGCAGCCTGACATCATGTCAATGGGCCGAACGCTTTTCCCCCAGGCAATCCACGATAAGATATGGGTCTGTCTTTTTTGAGGGTACACCTTTTTAGTGTGTTTGAAGGAAACCCAAAAGGACCAACGCCATTTTGGGCTCGTCCCTAAAAAAGACAGACCCATATACCAATATTTAACAGGGTACGGGTGGGCACATGTTCCATGGCATGGAGTGTGTGGGAGTCGCGCCCCAGAAAGGGCAGATCAAAGGATTCTACTGGGAAACAAGTCCTTCCGGCCACCAGCCTGGCGGGTCCCCGAAAGCGATCAAGTACGCAAAGGAGGTACGGGGCTCCCGATTTGTCCCCCTTCCAACATCCACTCTTTTTTTCACTCCAAATTGGCAACAACAAGCTGCTGCTCAAAACCACGGAAAAATACAGCTGGAACCTGGAGGTGCCAAATGCTCCTTTCGACTGAAGTACCATGCTGCAAGTTCCGGCAGTCAGCTCTAATCTGATTTGTGTGGGGAAGCCCAGGGTGTAGGGTTCAAAGATGTTCAAAGCCACCCGTCTGTTCAAAAGGGGCAATATCACGTCGTCTTCAGGTATCATGCTAACCCCTGGCTTAAACGGGGTTTCAACCGGAGGCATTTACCATGAACTAAAAAACGGACACCTCCCCCCCTGAAATGCCTCCCCCACCTTGTTGGGAAAAAAAGGAAGCACTTACCATGAACCAACAAAACTATGACTGGACAAAACCCAAGGGACCACCCCTGATTTGCCAAAATCCGACCGGAACTTAAGGGAAACAGCTGATTTGCCAAAATCCAACCGGAACTTAAGGGAAAACAGCTGATTTGCCAAAATCCAACCCGGGAAAACAAAATCCAACGGTTCTCTGCAGCATCGTTGGGTTGCAGAGGCTGGGCTTCAGGCCGCGCTCCGGCTTCAGCTTCCTCTGCCGCTCCACCTGACTGGTGACCACGGTGCCTCGCTTGATGAACAAAAAGGCGGCAGCGAGGTGAAATACTCGAAACCCCCAACACCCCGTGAAGGGCATGTGTTATATTCTATATTCTATATATATATATATGTATAGCATATATATATATATTATAGCATCTATATATATATATATACACATACTGTCATTTTGATGTTTATCATACATGATAAAGGTCAGCTTCCCCTTGATTGGAGGTTTGGATTGATGGGGATTTGAACCCCTGGTTTTTGTAAAGGGCAAATGGGAAGTTCCTGAACCACCAAGCCACCATTCCAAACCACCAACTGGAGGGAAGCTGAATAAAGGGTGTGCTGTTCTAGGTAGGGTAAAAGAGAAATCACAAACACCTCCACCCATTTGCAGGCTCCATGTGAAAAAAGATAACGTCCTGGGACTATCGGGAAAGCACACCCCCAAATACAAGGCTTCCAGTTGAAGAACCTAAACAAGGGTCTAGGGTTGTGTGCATTTGCCATGGAGCTGTAACAGTTCCCCTCCCTTCTCGTATGGGTGTGAATTTTATTGGGGGATATACCTTGAAAGGGAAATCTGGTTGGCATGTTACAGGGGATTGTTGATTTTGGTGCAGCGTTGCCAAGCACTGCCCTCCTTTCTCTCAACTATCTGGGTAAATAATAATATTATTTCACGAACCTGAAATAAGGTTGGTTGGGGGGGCTATTCCCCACATAAACCGCCATTTGGGGCGAATTCGGTCGTGTGAGGTCGTGAAAAAATCACCCAGAACTGTGCCAACACTCGTCTGCATGGCGGAGAAAAAATGGTCCACGCCGGCCTCAGCCCGGAGGCTCTGAATCTTCACCGCCAGATTGTCGAGAACCTTGCAACACTTTCAGCCCGGACAACCCCGCCACGCCGTGTCTTCCACGGTTTTTGGAGCGGCTTCATACCGAAAAGTAAGAAAGTCTCCGCATTTCAGTTTCTGCATTTTCGCCAGGCACCGAATTCTCCTAAGAATCCCTAACATCTGGAATCTCCAGTTGGCATTTCCAAAAGGCAGTGATAGCAATCCATGTCCCAACTGGAAACCGGAACTCTCCGGTTGCTTCGTCCGGGTTCGCATGCGAGTTACAAGGACCCCCCCTGAAATCAAGCTAGGCGATTAGGTCTGCGCCAAAATCGTGGAGCCTGCACAAACGGCGGTGGTTCTCTTTGTTTGGTGTCCCAAAAAACACAAACCCGAGATGGAAAATATCCTCCGCAAAAAAAGAGAGAGGAAAAAACAAGGGGGGAAACACAATCCCAAGATGGGGTATCCTCCGGAAAAAAAAAAGAAACAAAAAGAAGAAGAAACAAAAAGAAAAAACAACGAGCCACCCCGATTGTTTCCCAAGTTCGGAGCCCCCGAGCAAGGCGATAACTCGCCATCGCCTGCTTGCCATGCTCGCTCTCGCGCTGGAGCTCCTGTGCATCTGCTCTAGTCTGCACATCTGTGGGGAAGAAATGGAAAGCCTAGGTGTCCTTTTAGGGAAATCTAGATGGGTTTCCCTGGTAGATGATACACCACCAGGTAAACTAGGAATCGCCATCGATTTTTCGAGCAAAACAACCAAAAAGGACACCTATGATGGAAAGGCATACAGTAGATTCGGAAAACATGGAGATCATCCTCAGAATCCAGGCGGAATCTGAAAACAACATCCGGGAGTTTGAATCAATCTAGCGCCTTTTTCTGGCTAGATGGGGCTGTGTCCTTTTTGGAGCTGGCACTCTTTGTGGTGAATCAAACAAAAACAACCGCTGCCCTTAGCGCAAGACGACCCAAAGCCGATCTGGCCAATCCAGCAACATGTTCGCCGCCTCCGCAATCTAAAGGTTGACACCCCATTCTTTTCACCCCCCTCAGGCTGAACAAACGACTTTCGTCCAGCAAACATACTTCCGGTAGTGATAGATTCCGTTTTGTCTTTTTTGGGTGGTTTGAAAATGAAACCAAAGCAAACACCACCATGATGAAGGGGGTCCCCTAAAAAAGACACATGCATATGCAGAATTTGAAGGGCGGCACCAATTTCTAGCTGCGACTGGCCCTCACTACCCTTGTTTTGATTTTGTGGCGGCGGAGCCACAAGCGTCAAGCCGGCCTCGAGCTCTTTCTGCAGCGCCAATCGTCGAGCACGGTCTGCCTGGTGCATCTCCATGCCCCAAGTTGGTAAATCCCAAACAACCTGGACCCCGAAAGGACCGATCCCTTTTTGCTGCCTTTGAGCCACAACAAAAGGGGTACAAAGGCAGAAATAAGGGGTCCTTTGGGGGTCCAGGAAGGAGCAAAGAGCAAATGAGGATAACACACACGCCAGAGTCGGAATCACAGCTGAAGGAGTCTCCCCGGCTTGCTCTCCCCTGTAGAAGGCCTGGTATATCCTGGTATTGAAGGAGTCTAGGTTGGCCCACAAACCTTCAACTACGTAGGCAGTAAGCACCATCCCGAAAATCCCGCTGAACGCAGCGCTGAATACACAGAACAAAAGCAGCAAGGCACCGGATCGGTCGAAACTGGATGCAGTTGATCTGTGCGCAGCACATGGACTTGAAACCCAGAAGAGCTGAGATTTCTACTTGGGTGTTCGGCCAGGTTGATTTGTTTAACCTACGTCATCACCCCCCTATAAGTCCGTTATTCCTGGGCTATAACCCAAGTGGCTAACCACATACCAACGTGGCGAATCGAACATCCAAGTAGGATGTCCCGGAAGGGTTTCGACCGTCGAGTTCAACCAAGCCCCTAAGACCTTGTGAAACCGATGCGGATGGGATGCCCTCTAATCTAGGTCCTCCAGTAGAGAGGATAGAATGAGAGTGCCCTTTTTTTCCCGTAGTCTATTTTAGTAGGGAACCCTCCCCCAAAAAAAGGTAAAAGGGCACTACTGGGGGACCTAGTAATCTTCTAAAGCTCCTGCTCTTGAGATCATAGGGGTGTGTCTTAACATAGGGTTCCCAGGTACCCCACAATATGGGTGGTTGTCCCTTCGGTTGGCCTCAAACCAACCCAAAAGGGTTCCCTCAAAAAACGACACAGCCCTACAGCTTGTTGGCCCACGTCTTGCTTGATTGCAGAAAATGCTGGGCACACCGGAAAGTGAAGCCATGATACTTGCGTGTGTGTGTGTGTCAAACGTAGGAAGACCCTCAAGATGATTGTTTTCCTTGGGCTTCCTTGAAACCAACCTCAAAACGGTACCAAGCCTCAAAAAAGCCCCACCCCTCTGTGGATGACTCGTTTCACCGCTACGCACCCGCCTCAAAGTTGTGCGCTTGCGAATCGTACTGAGCCGTCAGCGAGGGCGGGGGTGCCCTGGAACTGCTCGCAGCCATTTGAGCGATTGCGACGAACTCGGAAGGTGAAGTTGGCTGGATTGAAGCTGTCCTGCGTCAAGCCTGTTGCGGAAAGTCTGCGTCAGGCTCTTTGGGCATATGCTTCCTCTCACTTGAGCAGAGCGCGTGGACCCCTTCTAAGCCTCCGCCTTTGAAGCGAAGAAAGTTCTGGGGCGATGGGCACTTGTGAGCCGGACCCAAAACGCATTGACCTTGGGTTGGCTTATAAAAGCCTGCCAGCGTTGTTAACTATCTTTCACCAAAGGGAAACTCACTTCAAGTGGCTCAGAAAGGTGGGTGTTAAAATCACCAACAGCGGAAATATAGGGCAAGGGCAAACGAGGGGGTGCTACGCCTTACCTTGCAGTTCTCTCTTGTGGTCTTCCCCCAAAAGAGATCCATGCTTTCTCCACTCTTTCTCCAAGATGTCAACTGGGTTCCTCATTCCCTTTGATGTGGGGATGTGCAAAGCGCCCAATTCAGTATGACCAGTGAACTTAAAAACCGATGTAGGGGGTCATGGTCCTGGTCATGGACTCCTGAATTGGAATCCTTTCTAAATCCCCTATTAAGGGGTTGCTCACCATCCCTACCAGCCCCAAGTGAAAGCGTGTTTTGGGAATTGTACAAATGGGACCTCGTGTCAGCGCAAGCATCCCCCCCCGGCCCTCCCCCCCGTCCCCTGCAGCTTTTCGGCAACTTGCGGCACCCCTTCACGCGCGAGTTGCAGCAACTTGCACACAAAGCCCGATCAAGGGAATCAAACGCCGGACGAAGTGATTCCCCGCCAAAAGTTGACACAGGATGTTCGAAACTTCTTTCAAATGAGATATTGCTCAAGATCGCGGGGAAACTTCCCATGAAGGGTTGCGTGTCCTCAAGCTTCAAGCTACCCATTAAAATGAGCAAACTCCCCTTCAAAATGAGATATTGCTCAACATCTTGGGATAACTCCCTATTATATCCTCAAGCTACCCGTCAAAATTGGCAATCATTGCCCTTTAAATCATCGCCCTATTATTCTATCCTCAAGCTACCCACAAAAAAAGGGTAAGCCTTACCCTTTAAATCATCACCCTATTCTTCAATCCTAAAGCCACCCACTGAAAAAGGGCAATCACTACCCCTTTAACTCACTTCCCAAGTTGACGGGCCAAAAAAAGTTTGAACTTTTTATTTACCACTAAGATGGTCTTTCCAAAAAGTTTAAAGTCCACCAACTCAGGAAGTGAGTTAAAACGTGAGTCACTGAGTACCTTCCTCTTGAAGGGTTCCTAGCTTCAAACTCCCCGGACCAGGCTCGGGACCCTCGCTTGGCCCCAGTCGATTTGATCAATGGGCGAGGGTTGGGCAAAACGTTTGGAAGCCAAAGCAACCGAATGGCTGTGGCTCAAAAAACCGGAATTCCAAAGTGGCTTGCCCTGGTAAGTGGAAACATGGACCAAAACCTGCGGTTTGCCCCTCCGATCGTTTCATTTTGAGCCACACCCAACTCAACCCTCGATGGGCAAACCAAATCGAGGGTTGATAAAAGCCAAACCGAATCAATGGGTCAAACGCCTGTTAATGGGATAAAACCAGATCCGGATCCACAGGCAAACCAAAAGGAGCTGTTTTTTTAGATTCACCGGCGGTTTGAGCATAGGTGGCTGTAGAGTTCCTTCAGTGCACCCAGCGTTTTGGGGTGGAAAGCCACGTGTGTCTTTTTTGTGAGGTGGGAAAAACCATGCGGTTTCTATCAAGTGGTCGGCCCAACCCTGCATTGCGCCCAGGGTGAGGCTCGACTTGTTCTCACCGCTTGGACCTGCCATCAAGCATCAAGCAGAACTGTGTGTCTCTTTGAGGGCTTACTTCAAGCCACACTTCTAGAGGTACCTGCCCCATTCTTTCCCGGGATCCTTCTTTCTAGAAAACCTCCGGAAACCCAGGGAAAACGGCAGGTCTTGGAAAATGATGAGGAATCAACCCGTAGAAGATTTCCTTTCAAAAGTTGCAATTTAATGGTGGGGTCCATTGAAACAATCGCCACTTTGTTCCAAAAAAAGGGCACGGTGCACTTGTCAGGTTGGTTTAAAGGGAAACTCAAAGGGCCACGGCCCCACAGATTGACACATACCCAACTGAGCGATCTTTCTCTGACCAAACAAATGAGTGGTTTATGGCCATTCTCGGGGTCTTGGGTCCCCAAAATCCAAAAGATCTCAATTGCCCCATCCCCACCCCCCAGATGAGTTGATTTGGTGTGCCCAATGTCATCCTTAACGCAGCAAATGTCGGATATGGACCATGGCTCAAGAAAGGGCGCCGGACCGCATTACACCTGCTTTCCAGGACATGAGGCACCGGACATTGGGGCTCGGATTTTCCCCAAACCGAAAGCAGACTACCAGTACCTTAAGAAGGGGGATGGTTTTTCCTCAAGCTTCCCCTGCCAAAAAACATGCAACATGGAGCTCTTTACGTGTGCGGAAACACCCTTGTAGGGCCCCCTCAAAAAAGTGTCAGAAGGAACCTTCTTGCGACTTGGGTGGGTGGGATTTCTCTTCACAGGGAAGGGCTTCTGGCTATCCGTGGGCGCCTGTGGCCCTTTGACCCAAAAGACACCTAAAAGGGCGAAGGCAAGGTCCTTCCATCCGTATAGCTAGGTCTTTGGACGGTTACCACCAAACCTCACTCCCACGCCGTTCGCGGCTGTCGCTTTGGCTTCTCAAAATAGGGGCTTCTTTTTGGTCTCCCTTGACATACCAACCACTGATCACCATGTTTTTGGACCCCCCCCTTTTGGTGGTTGTTTTTTACCCAAAGAGGTCTGAACCCTTAAAAAGGGTCACCCCGATCAAACTCAAATAGGGTTCTGCTTAATCCGGCACCCCCGCCGGTTTTTGGGGACCCCCCAACCCCTTTGGTTTAAGGTTGCACCTGGTTTAATATCGGTAGTCTGAATCATGTCAAGTTAGTGGCAATCCTAGATTGATTTAAGTGGTGGCACTGTTTTGACTGTTTGAGGAGGGGGGGGCACAGTAACTCGGTTGCTTTCTGCGCCCCTGCTAAAAGTTTAAGTTTTAGTGGTTTAGTGGAAAACCCAAATTCGTTGGCAAAAAGCTATTCAGTCCTAACAGCCCTTGGCAAATGCCCCAAAGGTAAACAAGGTCCAACATGAAAGGGACACGAGGAACCCCATTTGGTCGCCCCTGGCCCTCCCGGACTCCGCGCCTCTTCTTGGGCTGGGGCTCTTCCGGCACGGCCGCGGCTTGCTGCAGCAGCGCCTCTCGGATTATCGGTTCCATCGGCAGCTCAGTGGTTCAGTGACCCTGGGAAAAAAAGGGAGCCCTTTTTGGGGAAGACCCTTTTTTGTGGGGCAGTCTCAAAAAAAAAGAGGGGAAAAAGGGTGCCACTGAACAACTGAGGCAGAGAATGCGACATGCAACGACCCATGTGAGCCATCAAAACCCGGTACAAAAATGGTCGACCCAGAACCATGCTTCAAGAACTCAGGAGGCGGATATCCGCAGCTTTTTATGGCAAGGGGATCGTCCCTTACTAACCTTCACTTACCTGGGTTTTGATTGTGACTCATGTGGCTGTCTCTCAAACAAATGTACCAAAACGGCGCCTTGGCAAATGAAACGAAAGACTAAAACTTGCGCAACCCTAGCTCTTGAACTTTGAGCCACGCCCATATGGGTGTTTCAATCAAAATTAGGGAACCCTTCAGGTGACCAGGTGACCATCCAACCAAGGGATCCCTATTTTAAGCAACACCTATATAAACCATACCCGATTTCGTTCTCCCTTTTGTTCGGGAATTCCCTTCCGGTTCATTCCCAAAACCCGGAAGGGTTCCAAAGACTTCTGAGCACCAGCAAACATTCTCCCCATTTCGGCTTACTCCCCACGCGTCCAATATGCAAGTGCTTATTCTTCCTGGATACTCGTGTACTTCTCGGATGGATTTGAAGAAGGGAAGATAGGCTTTACATGATAACATACCGGAAATTGTGGAATCTACTTGAAGCAAGCTGTAGCCTTTGCGAAACCTCTTAAGTCTTCCGCGGGGCACGCCTGATTTATACCTGGCGAGAGATTTAATCAGGGGTACACAAAGAACCCCACCTGAATGAATCATTATGTTGGGGAGTGTTTCCTGGCCATACATGAAAATCACCTAACATGGAGCCATGAACATCAAATTGTTCATTCTAGTTCCACTTCTTTGATTCCCCTTCACGTTGAGGCGGGCCGTTTTGACAACAACGAATGAAGCTGGGTGGCAATTTGGCAGTTGATCAGTTTCACGCTGACCCATAGTTCTCCTCTGGAATGTTGCCCCAAAAAAAGCAAACAAACACGTGTGACAATAATCTGCATATTGAGCAACAGTTCCCAAACCTGAGATAAGAGCACCTACATCGCGGGTTTCCGCTTGTTTCACGCCCGGGAAAAAGAGCTGAGCTCGCCAAACAATTGGCAGCAGAATGGGGGGACCAACTTGAATCATGCAGCCCTTGTCGCGATCATCCGCCTGCATGAGCTTGGGGTACTTCATGATCTGAGGGCCTTGGCGACACGGAGGACCGTACGAGTCGGGGGTGGCTCCCCTTTATTGTATGGAAACAACCGATTTTCGGGGGAGCTTGAAGTTCACCCAAAAAATGGCACAAACACATGTTCAAAGCACTGCCTTGTGGTGCTCTAGATTTCTTGCTTTCCCGCTTTCCATGCCTTCCAAACCCTCCGAAACCTTGGTGCGGTAGCAAAAAGACGTGTTGTATGCAGCCAGCTACTCAAAACCAACCAACCAAAAAAAACAACAACAACACACAAACAAAACAAACAACACTAAACAAACAAAACTAAACAACAAAACAGAAACGAAACGAAACAAACAAAACACATAAACAATCACAGAAACAACGAGACAAAGACACGTAACAAAGAAACAAACAAGCCACACAAAAATCAAAGAATCAAAGACACACGTTAACAAACAAACAAACAAACAAACAAACAAACAGAAAGAAAGAAAGAAAGAAAGAAAGACATAAAGAAAGAAACAAACAAACAAGCCAAGAAAAAAAAACAACAACGTATGAAAAAGACACGAAACAACGCAAACGAAAGAAATAACCGAAGACACAAGGACGCAATTACGAAACAACGAAACAAAGAAACAAGACACGACAAACAAACAAGCAAATAAATACAGAACAAAACACACCCCAAACAATGACACAAACAACAAAAATAAACACAAACACAAAGAAGCTAGGGAAAAGACAAACAAACAACTAAACAAAGAATCAACAACACAATACGGAGACAAGCCAAAGCAAATCAAACAAAGAAACAGCAGCAGAACAAAGAAGCAAACAAAAACAACGCACAACAAACAAACAAACAAACAAACAAACAAACAAACAAACAAATCAAACAAACAAACAAACAAACAAACAAACAAACAAACAAACAAACAAACAAACAAACAAACAAACAAACAAACAAACACACAAACAAACAAAACAAACAAACTGACAAACAAACAAACAACACAAAACAGAACAACGCAACGCAACACATAACGAAAGCTAGTATTAACTCATGCAACAAACACGGTGAATAAACCGGTCACCTGCTCGGGTTCCAGCTGTTCGCCACCTCGGCCAAGGCCTTCTTGTTCCTGGCAAGAACGAAGGAGCCAAGCGGTGTGTGCACGGAACCCTCCCATGGAATGCATGGGGAAGAAGATTCTGCACACCCCTTGTTTTGTGCCGGATGAGTTTGAAGGGAACCCTTGTCCAAAAGAAGCTTTGTTCTTGTGTAGGTTGATGTAGGTATATTGCTTAAAGGGGTTTGCCCCCCTCCAAGAAACCGCTGCAAAAAGGTCACTCAAGGTAGTGCCTGTGGCAAGGTGGACTTTCTCTCCTGAGGAACTAAACCGAATCGCTGTTCAGGAATCTCGTTTCGGTGTGTCTTTCTTTGAGGAGTCCGTTGTCGGGTTGGTTAAAGAGAAAACCATAAGGAAGCCACTAATTTGGGGGGGGGTTCCCCTATTTTTCAGACAAACCCATTTGGACCCCTGTTTTGGGTTTGTTTGAGATTTCTGAAAATCATGGACGCCCTGGTTTCCTTTTACTCTCCCTGTGAAACAACCCACGTCCAAAAGCGATCGGAATCCGTGGGTTGCAACCTGGCAATGGGTTGCACCCTCAGCTGCGCGACAGCAACTTTCGGCTTGACGGAGGAGTTACCCCCGGCGACCAAAAGTGATGACTGTGGACTCTAGGGGTGTTTTCTTTCGGCCAAAACTTGAGTTTAGTGCCAAAAGTTAAAACCTAAAGAGGTATTAGGCCTTTGAGGGGTGTTTTCTTTCGGCAAAAACTTGAGTTTAGTGCCAAAAGTTAAAACCTAAAGAGGTATTAGGCCTTTGAGGGGTGTTTTCTTTCGGCAACCCAACAGGGCAGTGCCAAAACTTGAGCTTAGTCTGGCAACGTCTGGTTGCTCCAAAGGTATCTCGAAGGGTTCTTAGCTTGAATCTATGCAAGCGGCAACATAATTATTCAGAGCGTATCCCCATAACCATGACTATATCTTGCTATTTAGGCCCTTACATTATTCCCTCCCACATCTACTCAAGACCATGCTGGCAAACTGGGCTGGCAGCACTGCGTCAGCCTCGGCGCACAGCCACTCTCTCTCTCTCTCTCTCTCCAAACATTTGGGGCATCTCAACGGGGAAAACACCCGGAAGAATGAGCGGGCATTGTGTACTTCGTGTTTGGAGCCCCTTTCATTCCCTTACCAAACCCAAAAACAAACCTTTCACGCGTTTGTCGTCCCTTTGGGCATCGAACTCTGCAAGACGCGCCCATGGCGTGTCTTGTCGGCTTCAAGATTAAAAGCAAAGGTAACAAACCGAGGCCAATTTTGGGCTGCCCTAGTCTAAGACACACGCTTTTAAGCTTCCTAGCAACTTTCTTGAAGGGACCCCCCCCGTTTGGTACGCTTAAGCTCACTTGCTGAGTGGATGGCCAAAAAAAGTCCAAACTTTTTATTTACCACTAAAATGGTCTTCCCAAAAAGTTTATAAAGTTCATGAACTCAGGAAGTGAGTAAGTCTGGAACACCAACTCGAACTCCTCCTGAAATCCGCGGTCTCCGGTTGATGCCGGGCAGCTGCTCGAGGATCCTCTCCCCCAGTTGGCTGAGCCCGAAATCCTCGCAGATCGTGAGGACCTGGAGCAACTCCATCCGGGCCGCACTGGGTTGGGTCGGTGTTTTGTGTGTTTTTTGGACCTATCTGATGGATCAGGCCGTTCTACATTCAAATTCATCCAGGGTCCGCATTCCTCAAAGTTGGTGATCTTGGGGTTGGGTGTTTGGTGCCCCACCAATAAATAGGGCTCAATGGGGTGTGTCTTCGGAGTTGGTACCCTTGTTGGGATTGAAGGGACACCACAAGGAACACCCGCCAGCAAATGGGGTACCCCTGTTTTGAGGCACATCATCCATGTTGTTGCACCCTGGGAGTTCAAATAAAGAGGAGGCATAAAAGCTCCTGAAAGGGTCTCCAACTCAACTGGGGAGAGAATTTGCCCCTTGAAAGGCCTGGAAGTTGTAGGATTCTGAAAACTTGGACATGATGTGATCCACATTTTCAGAGGGTAGACAGGAAACTCTGACATGACCGGCCGTGATTCCGCTTCTAGTGTGGCAGCGACCCGAAGTTGCAAGTGGACACGTCTGCTGCTCGAATGCCACCTATCTCATGGATGAAGCCGTTCTATATTCAGATTCATCCAAGGTTCCCATACCTCAGGGTTCCCAAAAAGTATCAAGTCCGTCAACTCAGGAAGTGAGTTCCCCCTTTCAACATCCTACCAAAGGGCGCTACAAGGTGGCAACTGGTCGACCGAAACAAACCTGACCGGGCCGCCTCAACGACATTCCCCGTGGTGAGGTCTTTGGCAAGCCTCGGGAAATGTCAACTTCAGGTTCAACTGGGGCACCCTACGAATTGGAATGGAATCCCCCCAACATGGAATCCGACTCCCCACCCCAAAAAAAGGGAGCCACCCCTCAACAAACCGAAGCATTCGAAACTTTGCCCGGCCCTCGTTTTCTCCGACACATCCTTCGACTCACATTGCCGAGCCGCCAGTGCATCCCGCGCTCCGTGAGCCCAGGCCTCAATGGATCGAGAGCAAAAGGTCCACCGAGGTTTTCAACATGGGCCCCCTTTTGGTGGGCAATGAGCGGAAGACACCAAAGGAAACCCCTGCGATTTTGGGAACCCCCATCCTCGACCTGGAGTCTCCTCTCCATGATCCTTGGTCATGGCGCCTTCATGTTGGGTTTGTGATCCTGGAAAAGTAGGGTTGTGACGTCATTTGGGGCATATGGCTGTGGCCCAAAAACATGTACTAAAATGGCACCTTGGTAAATAGAACCAAAGACTAAAACCTGCATAACCCTAGCTCTTAAATTTTGAGCCACGTCCATATGTGCACACATGACCGCAAGGGCAGAGGGCCTTGGAGACTGGAGTTCTAAGCCGCCAGCAATCTGAAGGTTTGCGCCAAACGCAGCACGTCTTTGTTGATCTCCTGGCGCTTGCAGAGCAGCCGCTGCGAATCCCGTTTGAAGAGCCTCCCATATGGAACATTTGAGGGCTGTTAAGACCCCCCTGGCACAGATGGTACCCCCAACAAGCACAAAGGGATGGTAAATACCGCCTCGCAGAAGGGTCGGATTCCCGCAAACGTCGCCCCAAATCGTCCCGCAAAACATCCTCCCATCTTAGCTTCGTCCTGCCAACGTCCTGCCCTTCAACGTCTTTCCATTCATTGGGGTTGCTGCCAAACATCCAGGCCAAGATGAAGGACGATCAGAAACATCCCAACAAACATGGGGGATGATTCGACTCATCCTGGGAAGCTTACCCTGTTTTCCAATCACTAGCTCCCCAGTGAAACTGGGCTTCCCGGGGAGGACCCTGATGTTGCTTCCGGGATACATCAAGGCGAGCCTTGCGCCATATTTATTGTTGTTGTCTATGCGCGCGACATGTTGCAGCAATCACTGTTTTCACACGTAAGTCATAGTCAAAACCCAGTACAAAAAATGGTGAACCCATAACCATGAAAAGGATTAAGAAGGCGGCCGCACCTATTTATGGTTGGGATCGCCCCTTACTAACCTTCATCTACCCGGGTTTTGATTGTGACTCAGGTGGCCACGCGAGAGGCGTTGTGGGTGCTTGACTATTTCTGTTCGATGAGCAGCTCAACATTGATCTTGCCCCCTGAGGCTATCAAGGCCCGGGCTCTTAAGCGCTTGCTTTGGGGAAGCAAGCGGGCCTTGGGTTGGGTGAGAGTACGCAAATGATTCAAGGAATTGCTGTTGGCAGGGGGGATAACTCAGAGGATTGTGTGGGCAAGGGGTGATGATTCGGTGCTTGATGTTGTACAAGGGATGACGTTGGAGGATGTTTGGGGGATGGCTTGAACAGACAAAAATAGACAAGTGTGTCAAAGATAAGGACCATCCCCAATAAAGCTGTGAGGCAGGAAATCCAATACCTGACTTTGTGATAAGGTTGATATAGATTGAACTGGGCCTTCCGATAGCCACCACAAAACCACGCAGTACCGCCTACTAAAAAGGGCCAAAGGGAAGCCGATGGAGACGCTAGGCTTGCCTAGGCTCCCGTGTCCTGAGTCCGGGGATTGTAGTCCTCCCACCTCGAGGAAACTGCAGGCGTGTTCATATCCCCCAGGAACTGTGCCATGGTCAAAACTCGCAAAACGTGGGCCATAATCATGGTTTCCTTAGGAACTCTCATAATGGTGGTCAAAATTCCCTACCGGGGTCCAAGTAGCCCCCCCCCAACACACACAAAACAAATGCTTCATTTTCTTGTGGTTTCCCTGTAAAAGAAGGGCCAGTGAGCAGGTCGTCCGACCATGGCACAGCCACGATTCGCACTTTGGGAGCTCTGCACGGCTGAGTCGGTCTGGTACATGTAGTCCAACATAAATTTCACCGCCTGGCGGTCGAACGGTTTGCAGGCCTTGCTCGTCTGTTCAAAATGAGGGCGGGGGATCCCGAACCCGGGAAGAACTAGTGGGACACCACAACAAGGGATACTAAGGTCCAACGTCCGGGCGCTTTGGGCAGTGCATGGCAGTGCTCAATTGCGACGTTCTCGCGAAAAATGTCTGGTCCAAGCGCACATGGGCAGCGTCTACACTACACGCAGGGTTGGGTGGGGTTAAAAAAAGGTTTAAACAGAGCCCCTGTAGGCGATCAAAGTTGGGCGGTTCAAAATCGAGACCACAACAAGTCCGGCTAAGCAGGGCCCTGGAAAGGATACACCCAAATATCACCCGGTGCATGTGGAAACCCTGGTCAGTAACTTGGTCTAATTGTATCCAAGGCACCCTATTGAAACCGCCTTTGTCGAATTCTATTTGCCACGGGAACCCAGAACCCCTCTTTTTGTAGGCATGTACGCCGACAATTTCGGGAATACGGATTTTCCACCCCAACACCCAGAAGAAACCCAAACCAACGGGTGAATATTCCCCTCGGAATCGGTGGTGGGGTGTCAAAATCCGACCCCGAACATGGTCTTCCTTTCGGTTTCCCTTCAAAACCACTCCAAAGAAAGCAACATTTTTTTTTTGTTTTTTTTTTTTTTTTTTAAAGAAACACAAAGAAGCCACGCAAAAAAGGCAACCAAACACAACAACAAGAAGAGCCACAAAAAAAGCAACAAAAAGAGCCACAAAAAGAAGAGAGACCCTTTTGGTTATGCCGAAACCGCCTCCCCGACCCTTTCTGGCGACTCTTCCGGGCCTCGGGGTTCGAGACCTCAGCCAATCTGATCTCTTGCCTGCGAGAAGCTCGGCTTCACGAATGGCCGGCTCAAGAGCGATGGCGAAGTGCAAGAGTTTGCCATGGGCTAGTACAACACAAATCCAGAGTCCAGAGTGTCGTCTTTTGCAAGCTCAAGGATTCACGAATGTCGAGGCCCCTCCCAGAAGAACCAGCAACCTGTTGGCTTTTGTAGGTGCTGTTGGACAAGGCCAAAACCTCCGACAAAATACAAGACACCTACAAAACCAAACGCCAAAACCTACCCGGCGCCGCTTGCCTGCCATCAGACGCCTCCTTGGCCACAGTGGCAAGGCCACTCTTGAAGACCTGCTGCCGAGAGCCAAAGTGGATTTCCCCAAAACGTGGGTGATGTTGACCCTATATCAATCAACCAACCAGTTTATTCATAGGAAGTAGTCGGATTCCTTACATTTCACCCAGAATCGGACACCGGGACCCCTATCAATAAACGGGTTGGTTCATGAATCCGCGCTCAACATTCTGAACTTGAAAAAGGGGACCCGAAATAGACGAATCGGTTCGGGGAGTTTTGTGTGACTGGTTGGTTGAGGTCTTTCGTAACATGGGCGAGTTCTGAAAACGACCCTTAAAAGTCTCGGTTTCCCTTGAACCCACGTTTGTCTGTGAGTGTTTTGTGTTGTTGTTTTATTTTTCTTGTTTTTCTTGGGGGAGAGAAGTGAGGATGTCACTTTTATGGACCCAGTAAGCTTCAACACAGGTGAGTCACAATGAAAACCTGGCACATCCTGGTAAAGTTGTCTACCTACCCCGAGACCCATGGTAAACAATCCTATGGCTGCTGCCCCTAACCTTCACTTGCCCGAACCTAGCGCGGCTCCAAACAAGCAAGCAGTGGATCATTCTCCCCGCGCTTTGTGAGAATGCAGCTGAAAGCTAAGGAAGTAAGCCCAATACCCGCAAAACTAAGTTCCTGCAGACTTTCCTGGAATTGAGACGCTTCCATGGGCTGAGCCCATCTTCGAGAAGCCGCTCATTTTGCCTGCCTCTTTCGTCATTGTCCGAAACCGAGGTGCTGGGTCCCGCCCAAAGGCAGGGTTTGGTCGCCCTTTCCCTGCCAGAAACAGTTGGGTTCCATTGCAATGTGGTGAACCTTCTGCATCGTCTGCGTGTCTGTGTGCTTTCTTGATCATCAGGGTTGCGAAAGATCCCAGCGCTTCGCAGAAATGCGGCCCAAGAGAAGCCAAGGACACCTTTGACCCATTTCCTTGTTCCTGAGCTTGTCCTCCCATACACGGGAATGGGAATGCGGGAATCCATTAATTTGGAGAATGGCCCCCCATGTTCTGGTTGTATTTTCGCGAGTGTCCCCCATATCACCCCCTTTGATACAGAAGATGACGGTAAGACCATTATATCCAAAACCCCTTTGACCAAATTCCTGCCCCTCGGAGCGCTTTTGCAGCCCGAGCCCGAGGGAAACCTTGAGCCAACCTGCCAAGTTCACAGACCAATGGATGGGCAAGAAAATGGGAGGCGTCTCCCCCCACGCCCCTTTTGCTGAAATCAGGATTCTTCCTCTTGAGCCACCGTCAACAATCATGGTGTCTCCAATATCATCTCCTTTGATTTAGAAGACCTTAAAATACCCAATATGCCTTAGGGTGTGGTGTTAACCTCTGAGAAAAAAAAGACACATTGTTCCTTAAGGGCTAACCCTAAACCCTAAACCCTTGACTTCCCAGAATGCACTTTCCTAGTAGCTCTTTCAAACCATGGCAGAAATGGAGCCACGTGCTGGAAGGTTTAGGGCCCATTGACACCCCATTTGAATCGCAATCAAAACCCGGTACCAAAATGGTGCCAGAACCATGCTTCAAGAACTAAGGCGGAGATCCGCAGCGGTTTATGGCAAGGGGATCGTCCCTTACTAACCCTCATCTACCAAAGGGTTTTGATTGTGGCTCATTTGACATTTCCCAGTCAACCTGATATCTCATCCGCATCCATCCAAAACAGTGGGAATCGGTCACGGTCAACGAGGACATGGGAAGTGTAGTGCGTATTTCCATGCCCCTCTCAATAACCATACACTACCTGTCATTTTGACCAAACCTATAGATGGTCTTGTGCCAAGGGACAAGACCAAAAAAAGGTGGTTCCTTTGGTTCCTTTTGAATCAATCCCAAATGACGGTACGTACCCTCAAAACAAGACACCCTCCAAATAGAGGTGCTTAAAGGGGCAGGGTACTTAGTAAGTGGTTAGTAAGCCTAGTTCTATCCCATCTATTACGGTTATAAGTCTCCTAAGTGGGTCATAACCAGGCTTGCTAACCACTTACTACGTTCCCGATCGCCCGTTTAAGTGACATCCTTCTGACAGCGCTACCGAAGCCAGCCTCGCTCTCGGCCGCAAGCACAATGCGGTGGGCGTAGAAGGTCCTGTCCGCACAGACCTGAACTGGTCGCAGGCGCAGGGGATTGCTTTTTCAGAGAGAAACCAACAGGACAGCCACCAGCTTGGTCAACATATTGAGTTGGAACCACCTGACCTGAACAATTTGTTGGTGTACATGAATCCCCACCGAATTATGATGTCCGCCAAAGGGTCCCCAATTAAAAGTCATACCCACATCACATGTTTCGGGTGTAAGCCCAGGGTGCAACACAAAATCCGCAAACCGCCCGCCTATCCCTTGGTTTCCTGGTTACTGTGGCTGTCAACTCAATATCGCAAGCAATCCCACCATACTCCGCCACAAAGCCATGGTGTTTGGTGAGAACTTCGTTTGGGTGTCCTTTGGAGTTGCCAAAAAGAATGGTTCATTGCAGTCAATGGGTGGCTCGTCTTTTGAGGCCCATTCTTTTGTGGCTTTCAAAGGGAACCAAAAAGAAAATCACCTCCTCTCTCTTTTGTTTCTTTTTGGGGGGGTTGGGGGGTCCCCCAAAAAATCCACGCCCAAAATTGGCGCGGCAAGCAAGCAACACATCACAAGTCGCGGGGGCCATGACTGCAATTCTCAGGTTTCTGAAGGTTGGTTGACGTTGGAAGGGGAGCAAAAATATAATTTTTAGCAGTTCAGTGGAGGATTTCAACCACATTCAACCACAATAAGCAAAAATGTAAAATGTTTCCTAACGACAACCATGGATGGTTGACCCATCTTTTCCCTCCGTCGATCTGGTGCGTTTTTGCGAAACTGACAAGTTCCCCGGTTTTTGCAAAACGTATTTTCATAAAGAAGGATCTTTATGTGTTTTGTGAAACCACATCCCCGGTTTTTGCCGGATATTTCCTGAAAAAGGATCCCCGGCAAAGACCTGCGGGGGGGAAGGCACAGCTGGAGCAATGCTCGGCTTTCTGATCAGCCTGTGCTCCCCGCCAAAGATACGTCTGTGAACTCCCCTCGCTTGTAGAGCTCGCGCAAGCCTCGCGGAAAAAAAAAAAGAGCAGACAGCATGGCGGCCGAGGGATATATGAGGGAGACCCTCTTTCCCACCATCATGGTGGGGTGCGGGGCTTCCTCCAAAGAAAAGTCGCCTCAACCAAAAAACCCTCCTGTCAGCTTCCATGGGAGGGCCACTTCTCCATTTCCCAGCCGAGCCAGTCCCGACACCCCGGAGAATGTTCGGTCACCAAGACGTTGATTCAAAGAATTTCATGTCACGGGGTTGTCGAGATAGGATCTCTTCTCAAAGCCCTGCAAGAAGAGGCGCAACCAAAACGCGTCTTGGAAGCCTATCTGACAACCTGACACAATAGTTGCCAGGTCTTGTTGGCTGGCTTAATAATAGGCACTGCTTCAGAAATATGAATTTCAGAGACCGGCAAAGGACCGTTCACACTGAACTCGTCAAATGCCGCAGAACATAAGTTGGAGGAAGAAACACATCAATTGGAGCATAAGCATAAGCGGTGTCAAGCGGGGCATGTTTGATTGCGACAAGGATGGTTTCAAATGTATGGCGCGCAACACGAACATGGCAATCAGAAGCATGAGCACCACTACAACTTGGGTCAAGAAACTCAATGTAACAAGATATAGCACTGCTAGCTATTCATTGTAGCATCATGTCAAGTCATGCCATGTTGTCATCGTCGTTCAACTATTCCATGAAGCGTGTCGAAATGATCGATCACACGATTCGGACCAATCCCGATCAGCAGCTTGCCCAGCGCATCAAGTGGAGCACGTTCAGCTCAAATTTGCCACATTCAAAATGTTTTATGCTGGAATAGTACGGGCCTGACAAACTGAATGCGTCTTTTGCTGCACGTTTTGGACTCAAACTTGCCGAAAACACAAGGTTCACAGTTGGCCAAATTCTTCTAGTTCTCAACCTGAAAAGGCCACCTTCTGACCGATGGATGTTTCCTTTGACCGAGCACAGGTAGGGCACTCGCAAGAAGGCTTGGACACCAACCAAAAGTCCACCGCACACAACATGGAATGGAGATTTGCCGGCATTGAGCTTCACAAATAAAGTATTCTACTCCGCAAAAACACCGAACCATCGTTTAAGCACGCTAAGTTATCATATTGATTGATGCTTGCTTCTTTGCTTGCTTGCTCGCTCGCTTGCTTGCTTGCTTGTTTGCTTGCTTGCGTGCATGTGGACACCCGTTTTTGTGTTGAGCGGTCAACGCGGAAGCTCAGCTTCCGCGCCGTCCGCCAGTCTGTCCACGCCCGAGTTCTTCAGGGTGGGCAGCTTGACCGTCAAAGACACTGGCCTGGCAGTGACATGGCTATGGGTCAAAACCAATGGGATCCCATTTTTGGGTAGGTTAATTCACCACCCATTTTAGAACCTATTTTAGTGGGATTGGGATGTTCACTGGGGGTACGGGATTTTGACCCATGGCCAGAAGGGACATTTTTCGGCTTTTTGGTCGTCTTGCCTTGAAGGGAACCAAAGGGAACGCTGCCGCTGCCCTTCCTTTTAACATAAGGCACCTGTTGGTTGACTTCCTCTTGAAGGGACCCCTGGTGTGGGAAGGAGAGGAGTTGTCAACGGCATCCCCATGTGTCCCCTTCAGACGAAGCACCTTGCAGAGATGTTTAGCAGGGATTCGAGAATCCCAATAAAGAAGGATCCCAAAACAAAACACCATTTCTGTCATAGTTGTAGCGAAATGGCGCCGAACACGCATCCTGATGTTTGAGCCAGAATCATCAGAGATTCAGAAGCCGTGCTTTTTCAGCGTTTGGACAATCCTCCGGTAAGCTTCACCCATGTGCGTTTTGATTTTTTGCGACCGGGAACCCAAAGGTCTGAACAACTTCCCCGCACGGGGATTCGGAATCTCAGGCACGTGCTTTGTCCCCAGGTCCGGCATTTTGTCCAAGGACATGGCTCTCCAGAAGATGTAACCTGTGTCGTGTTGCAAGGCGCGTAGGCCGCTCTTTCGATGCTAAGACTCGAACATGTGTGACCGAGATGGCTCAAATGTAGTGGCTGCCATTTCACGGGTGAATGTAGGATTGTGAATCCGCGTCAAGAAGTGGCTTGACCACTGTCCTGGACTTCAAGCCAAAAGCTGCCACATCCATCAAATGCCCCACTGAATGATGATAAAGGTCCATACAAGCCCTACAATAACCCCAATTCAACCAGGTTGTAGAACCACCTGCTAGATGGCTCATGGGGTGCTCAATTGAGATCTGTTAAAACTCGCGTTTTGGGTGCTGCGCATTTATACCTGGACCTTCCAACATGTAAAATTAACGCCGTTTCCCAAAACAGCGATAATTTTTGCCGGTTGCTGAAAAAAACGCTCTTTCGGAGAAAAAGCGCTCGCCGTGAGTCCTGCTCGGAACCAGGCAAACAAAAAAACCGCCGTTTCGCCGGCAAATTACGCCGTTTTGACGGCGAATTACGCCGTTTTGCAATTTTGATTGATGCTAGAGTGTGCAAACACTGAACATTGCCGGCAGGCGAAAATAATCGCCGTTGGGTCAAAAGACATAGCTTTTGACAAAACAGCAATAATTTTGCACATGTTGGAAGACCCAGGTATACCCCCTTACAAGCACGGAACATGCCCTAAACACACACACACACACACGTTGGACAGCAGAGGCCAAGAATTCCCTTTCGCGGGGTCTAACCGATCGTACCTTTGCCGGGTTCGAACGATGACTCGGGACGGACCCTTTTTCGGCGCTCGAAGGTGAGTCTCTCGAGTGCGACGACTTGGCCTTGCGCTCTGCGCGGCGCTTTTTTTCCATGTCCAAGCCCCTCCCCTCCCCCAAGACCCCTCTCCCCTGACGCACTCCAAATACGCTCGGCAGTTGGACTCCTGTGTGAGCCTCCCCGGGATGCCTGTGAAATTTGTTCGCTTGTGGCTTTGCGAGATGGTCCTTGCGCGCCTGGAAACCCCGCCTCGAGAAAAGCCAGGCGAAAGACCCATCTCAGTCGCGGGCTTCAGGCCAGGAGTCGGTTTCCAGCTTCTTCTTCGTTCAGATTGCCTCGTAGCCCCAAACGTGGGGCCCCCCTGAAGAGGCCAAAACACAGAGTGTCTCATTGAAACATAAGCCCACGCCCGTGGGTTCCACTACGATTCCGCATGTTCACCCCAAGTGCAATGATCTTACTCTCTTGCACCATGGAACTTTAAGCACCAGGCAGCTACACTGACCTTCCGTATCACCTCAACTTCAGGAATCCCTAAAGGACTTCAGCATGCGCGGGGTCCCTCGTTTTGCCCCCAGCTGAGCTCGCCATTGATTGGTGCAGGACCACAACACCCACAAAGCCATTGTCAGAAAACCGCTTCTTTCTACCAGGGTGGGTCTTTCGTCGAGGGTTCCTGTTTTGGGTGGCTTCAAAGGCAAACTGCGCGTGTGTGCCTGTCAAAAAAGGGAGAACCCCCCCCCCCCCAAACTGGCGACTTTTGGTTTTCCTTCAAACAACCCGAGCGGGTACTACGATACCCTGAATAATACACCCACACGAAGACAAGGAGGTGGGTTACCTCCAAATAGGGGAATTCTCAAAATGCTTGGTTTGCAGTTGGTTTCAACCGCCAATGCATCGCTTTTAGTTCAAAGAACCAAGTTGCACACACGCACACACACACACACATACACACCCATACCAAACACAAACGAAAGAAAGAAAGAAAGAAAGAAAGAAAGAAAGAAAGAAAGAAAGAAAGAAAGAAACAAACAAACAAACAAACAAACAAACAAACAAACACGCACGCGCACACGCACACGCACGCGCACGCGCACACGCACACGGCGCGCGCGCGCGCACACACACACACACACAAAAAAAAACACATACGCACACACACACACACACACACACACACACACACACACACACACACACACACACACACACACACACACACACACACACACACACACACACACACACACACACACACACACACACACACACACGCACCCAAATAGACCTTTCAATAAATAAGACAGCCATGGCAAGTTGCACATGCTCGAAGCTGCCTGGATCCTCAAACTAACTGTTGAGACATCTCCAATGCTGAAGGGTAGTTTAAGGAACCACTTCCCGGACGGGGGGGGGGATTCTGACAGACCCCACAGACCTCACAGAACTCATAGACCTCACAATCCTCATAGACCGAAAAGACCTTTATTTCTACTTTCCTTCGCAAACTGCCTCTCAACAACAATTTCTTCAATAAGACTGTTTCTCTTCAACAACACTCTTTCAAGAACTGGAATAATATCTTTTGTTAATAAACCTTAATCTCTCAAGTCCAAGTTGCAGCTCCAAAGGGCCTTCACGGCCGTGGGCCGGTCAAAGCCAAGCTCCATGATGCGCCTCGGCCGTCTTTTGGGGTCGGCCCCAAAGGAGGGTGTGATGAATGAGCCTACCACAGGGGTGGAGACCGCAGGTAAGAGTAACTTCCAACCATTCTGTTCAATCCGAATCTTTCCGGAAAACCTAGGGTATCATTTGACACTCGAACAGAACAATGGATGAGAATGGGAAAGCGACCCCTAGAAACTAAGTGCTAAGGGGTCCACCCAAAGGGGTCTACCTAAAGGGGGTTCTCTCGGAAGGGTACGCAAAAACCCTTCTTGAGGGGATCTGAATCTCAACACCTTCTTGATGGGCTGAATCTCAACATCTTCTGGAGGGGAGCTAAAACCCAACATTCGTCACAAGTGCTTGATTAAAACAAGTGCTAGCTGGCAATCAATTGTGTAGTGAGGAAGACAAACCCACAACAGCCTTACCACGCCCATCAACCTTAGTTTTTTTCTTAATTCCCCAACAGCTAAAAGCTTTTGGGGTCTCAGCCCAGATAGGCTTTGCGGTGGTCCGGGTGCCTCTGAGGCAAGGTTCCGCAAGGTTCCCAAGAGTTCCGCAAGGGTTCCGCAAAGGCTCCGCCGGGCTCCGGGGTGGTGTGGGGCGGCCCCGCGGTAAGGTTGAGCAGGGTTGCGCGAGGGTCGAAAAGGAGCGCCGCCTGCTGTTGGGGAAAAGAAGGCCGCCTTACATGACCCACTTGGGGGGTTGGTTGGGCGGTTGAGTGGCTTTTATTTGATCCAGTCAGAATCCAAGGTTTGACCTCGAAACCGCTTCCCATCCAAAGGTCGTGGGATGACCATGTATGGTGAGAAAAAAGAAAACGGGAAGAACTGCCACACGGGAAAAGCTACCAATAACAGGAGAGCTGATTTCCATCACCATGGGTTTGTCTCAGGAATCCAACACAATGGGTGGCTTCCACGTTGCTTCTTTTAACAAACACAACTGGTGTTCAAATGGTATACCCAAACCAATGTAAAGAACTAGGGGCCACACCAAATTCCAAGTTCTGGTTGGGACTCTCCTTGCTAACCTTCACTCACCCGATTTTTTGAGCGAGTGTCTCACCTTGGAAACCCCCACTGAACCAACTTCAAAGCTCAAAGCAGCAACACCTCGCCCAGGTTTTGGCTATGGCGCTGCGCTTGAGGTTTGGCCCCAAAAATGAAGCCAAACTCGGGAGCCCCGGCTGAAGCTTCTGCTTGTCCAGCGCGCTGAGGCCCAGTTGCGACCTGAGGGAGGGCGGTTTCAACACCCCAAAGCCCCAAAAACGCAACCTCCCTCCCCCGAAACAGAACAACCCCACACAAAAAGAAACAAACCCCTGAACCCTCCCCCCCCCAAAAAAACCCACCCCCCCCAAAAAAAAAACTCCCCCCCCGCCAAAAAAAAAAACCTCCCCCCCCCCAACAAAAAAACAAACCAACAAAAACAAAAACGTCTAGCTTCTTGCAGCCTCGCGGCTCATTGAGCGCGGGGCCCGGAAACGCCGGTGGCAGCGGCCTGGCGAGGCGTTGCCGCAGCTTTTTCTGCGCTGGAGAGTCCAGGACCCAAGGGGAAAAACGGGCGAGAGGGGAGGGAAATGGCGCCAGGAAATGGGTCAAGGGGCGGCTTCAAGGGGTTGATTCCCCAGTCCATTCTTTTCAACCATCGCTCTTTTCAAAAACCGATCGCTGTTTCCCCAGGGTTTTGGGTGGCTTTTTAGAAAGAAGGATGCTTGGAAAGAATGGGGAAGGTACCCCTACAAGTATGGTGGTTGCATAGTGCCGTAAGGGGTATAAACTGCTGTGCAAGCTTCAATTGATGGTATTGATGTGGCTTGTTTCGTTTTGAGTTGGTACCGTTTCTGGATATTGTCTTGAAGGGAAACCAAAAGGAAACCGCCCATCTTGTTGTTTTTTGGTAGTGGGAGACAGACCCACGTAGAGATCATATAAAGGGTAGATTTAACATACTCTATGTCCAAATGGGTGGTGGTTTGGGGGCAGTGGAAAGCATCCTGGAGTCTGGCAGCATCGTTTTCAACTTCTGGGGTGCTTTTCTGCAGAGTAGGAATTCTGGATTTTGAGTGCACTCCAAAGCCAAAGTTCAATCCCCATACGCAGCTTCCTCTACAAATCCGTTTCCGGGATTCTTCCGTACAACCTCAAAAAAGGATCACCTCTCAACGGGGGAAATCTGCCAACCTGAGCACATTACTACCAGTAGGGTGTTTCTCAAATTTAAGGGGACCCCTTTTTTGGATGGTTTTCAGGGGGAAACCAAAAGGATGGAGGGTCCCTAACTTTGAGAAGCAGCCAACTACCTCCTTCCAATAATCATGGAAGTGCCTCCAACCCCTTTGAGGGGTTTGAAAAGCCCAGCCAGCCCGTGATCATCAAACCACCCACCAAGGAAAATACTAAACCGCACAGGGAACTATAGGTATGCTTTTCGTTGGGACCCGTTGGTGGTCATCATGAACATGGAAATTTGTGTCCACCAACCTCTTTTGACAGAGGGGTCCAAGCATCGCGATTTTTCCATGGTGTGTCTTGACATGGCCCCCATGGGCCGGCTCTGCTTCGGTTTCCTTTCGTTTCACCCACCAAGAGGCGAGACAACTCGAACAAAAAGGAACCACCGGGTCCTGGTCCGCTTGGTTTTTGTGGTTTAACCCGGGACCCGACTTTTCGCCTCTCTGGCTGGGAAACAAATTCTAAGGGCACCGAGCCTCCCAACAAAAAAACACGCACCCATTTCTGCCAGTTCCACAATGCTTCGAAAACCTGAAATAAAACACATCGTGATCTCCCTTAGACTTAGCCCACCTCCGGGGACAGACAAACACATTGTCTGATTCTCATTCATATCAGGTGTGCCCCAAGATGTGGGTGTGAATTGTATTGGGGACGGGACCCTTTGGCGGACATGATTTAGGTGGGGATGTCCACCAACCCCTTTCGAAGCGGTTCCAACTCTCAAAACTGGCCAACTACTTTTGGAGCAGACCCCAGTCTCCAACAAAAAACATGATTGGTGAATATTTACTCAGTATCCCCCCCAGAAAAAAAATAGCCACAACAACAACAACACAACAAAAAAACACATGCTTGGTGAGAATTTCCAGATTTCACCATACCCAAAACCATCAAACCTCTGTTGAGCCCCCGGCATCCCCCCAAAGCCGAATCGAGTCGCCTCAGAATCGGCTGCCCCATGAGGGGCTCGCCCATCGGCTCCATCGCCGGCTCCTGGCCCTCAAGCAGCAAGTTGGCCGCGAGCTCCTGGCGCGGGTTGCACCTCCCAGGGCTGAAGTCTACCTAAGGTGAAAAGGGCGAAGCAAAACACACTCACAAACACACACAGAAGTGTCCTTTTGGAAAAATAGATGGGTTTCCCTGGTAATTGGAAAAAAAAAACATCTAGACCGGTATGCCTTCTATTTTTAACCACACTAGCCTAAAAAGGACACCTATGCTCACACACACACACACACGGGGATTTGAGTTTGAACAGGGCATCACCGCAAAAAGGAGTGGCCCGTGGAGTTGTTTCCCTGAACTCTGACGTCCACCATTTCGTGAAAGAAATATGGCGCATCGCCCACAAATGTAGCCCAAACTCCTCATGTATGCAACATATTTACCCACATTTACCCACAGTTACCCACATTGACCCTCCAAATGGCTCACAAAAGAAATCTTGAGAGACACGCCTTTGCGGAGATTGAGAGACAAGTTTGGTGGCTCCGCTCACGGCTCGCGCGCATGGCGCGCATTCGCGCGCTCCTGGTTGCGCCCGGAGGCGCAGTAGCTCTGCAGCGCCTGGAAGAAGTCGAAGCCCATGGCCTCCAGGTCGTAGACCGCCTAACAGCGGATTCGGCGGCCGTTTCAGCTTTCGGCGTGGAAAAACTCGGAGCTTGGTTCGGCAATATGGGTGTTTATCAGAATAGGAATCAGTCCCCTTAAATGGTTGGTTGCCTTTACATACCGGTCAAGTTTTGCCTGTGGACACAAACTTGGAGTTGGAGGTGTGTGCTTTTTGGACACCTCCTTGATTTGGAGATGTGCTTTTTGGTGAAACCTCGTTTTTAGACAATCCTAGTCTCTATATTGGAGTTGAATTCATATGAAGAACCGAAAATTTGAACAGCGCACCCCCAAAAAAATGATTGTTTTGTTTGTGGTTGCCCTTTAAACCAAGGTGAAAAGGGTACCCAACCTCAAACCGAGCCATGCTGCAGGTTCTTGACTTGGATAGGCACCAGTCACAAGTTACAAGCCATAGGATCAAACCGAGAAACCCAAACCATCAATGTAGGTCATGTACCGACATGCGATCCATTCGGAGGATACATGTGGTTCGCTAACATCAACTGCAAAATTATACTCAGACTTGAATCCAAAGAGGCTTGGAGCGGACCTCCTTTTGGACTAATACCAATGGCACATGCAAATCCAACCAAACTTCTAGGGAAGGCTTCCCCGTTCTTTCCAGGCATCCGAATCTTTTCAGGAAACCCTCAGCCCACGGAAACCGCCGATTTGTTGAAAGCAAGCATGGCCCAGATTTGAATGGAAAAACATTTCGAGCCCTAAGACTCGTGTCTTTTGAGGGTACCTTACGACTGGTTTGACCGAACGCCGCGGAGGATTCTGTTCGACTCGCCTGGATCTCCCCCTCCGCCAAGCCCCGCTCTCGCGCGGCCTGAAGCTTAGCTTCGTTTCCGCGGCTTCGGAGCGGCGCGGTATTCCAAGGAAACAGGAAAAACCGTAGGAAACCAAAATGAGCCAAAGGAAACCCAAAGGGATTCCTTCAAAGAAAATCAAAACAAACCTTCAAAGGAAGCCAAAAGGAAGCCAAAAGGAAACCAAAAGGAAACCTTCAAAGAAAATCAAAACAAACCTTCAAAGGAAGCCAAAAGGAAACCAAAAGGAAACCTTCAAAGAAAATCAAAACAAACCTTCAAAGGAAGCCAAAAGGAAGCCAAAAGGAAACCAAAAGGAAACCTTCAAAGAAAATCAAAACAAACCTTCAAAGGAAGCCAAAAGGAAACCAAAAGGAAACCTTCAAAGAAAATCAAAACAAACCTTCAAAGGAAGCCAAAAGGAAGCCAAAAGGAAACAAACAAAAAGGAAGCCAAAAGGAAACCAAAAGGAAACCTTCAAAGAAAATCAAAACAAACCTTCAAAGGAAGCCAAAAGGAAACCAAAAGGAAACCTTCAAAGAAAATCAAAACAAACCTTCAAAGGAAGCCAAAAGAAGCCAAAAAACAAAAGGAAACCTTCAAAGAAAATCAAAACAAACCTTCAAAGGAAGCCAAAAGGAAGCCAAAAGGAAACCAAAAGGAAACCTTCAAAGAAAATCAAAACAAACCTTCAAAGGAAAAGCCAAAAGGAAACCAAAAGGAAACCTTCAAAGAAAATCAAAACAAACCTTCAAAGGAAGCCAAAAGGAAGCCAAAAGGAAGCCACCAAAAGGAAACCTTCAAAGAAAATCAAAACAAACCTTCAAAGGAAGCCAAAAGGAAGCCAAAAGGAAACCAAAAGGAAACCTTCAAAGAAAATCAAAACAAACCTTCAAAGGAAGCCAAAAGGAAGCCAAAAGGAAACCAAAAGGAAACCTTCAAAGAAAATCAAAACAAACCTTCAAAGGAAGCCAAAAGGAAGCCAAAAGGAAACCAAAAGGAAACCTTCAAAGAAAATCAAAACAAACCTTCAAAGGAAGCCCAAAAGGAAACCAAAAGGGAAACCAAAAGGAAACCAAAAAAAGAAGAAAGCCAAAAGGAAGCCAAAAGGAAACCAAAAGGAAACCTTCAAAGAAAATCAAAACAAACCTTCAAAGGAAGCCAAAAGGAAGCCAAAAGGAAACCAAAAGGAAACCTTCAAAGAAAATCAAAACAAACCTTCAAAGGAAGCCAAAAGGAAGCCAAAAGGAAACCAAAAGGAAGCCTTCAAAGAAAATCAAAACAAACCTTCAAAGGAAGCCACCTTCAAAGAAAATCAAAACAAACCTTCAAAGGAAGCCAAAAGGAAACCAAAAGGAAACCTTCAAAGAAAATCAAAACAAACCTTCAAAGGAAGCCAAAAGGAAGCCAAAAGGAAACCAAAAGGAAACCTTCAAAGAAAATCAAAACAAACATTCAAAGGAAGCCAAAAGCAAACCAAAAGGAAGCCTTTCAAGAAAATCAAAACAAACCTTCAAAGGAAGCCAAAAGGAAACCAAAAGGAAACCTTCAAAGAAAAATCAAAACAAACCTTCAAAGAAACCCAAAAGGAAACCAACAGGAAGCCTTCAAAGAAAATCAAAACAAACCTTTATTGCTCGCAGATATGGTGTCAAAATACGGGAACCACACTCAGTCAGCTGATCACCGAGCTGGTGCAAAGGATCCCTTTGACGAATTGGTCATGTCCATGCTACGGACGAAATGCATGTGTCTTGTTCAACGGTGTCACCCCAAATGGGTGGTTTCCTATTGACTTGCCCTCATGAACAGGGATGCTTACATTATACACCTGGACGTTGCCTTCAATGGTGGTTTCCCCTTATTTTGGTGGAGAAAGCCATGATTCAAATGGGCAACATGTATCTTTTAAGGAGCCCTGAATGAAGAATTTACAATCCGTGGCGTATCTGCTCTCGCCACCCCACTCCTGCACCACTGCCCCGCCTCACGCTTCGGGTCGGGCCTGGCGAGCGATTGCAGCACACACTTCTGAGAAAACATATTCTTGGCTGGAATTAGGACCCCAGCAAAAAATATGTTTTGCTTGGTTAGTGGAAAACAAAGGGAACACCAAATAAGCGAAAACATAAAAAAGGGGAACTAATTCTGGGGAAGTATTCACATGGCATTGAAACGACACTAGGTCCTCCAGCTTTGAGAGATTAGATTAAGTTGGTACCAACTTTGTTTTTCCTTTTTTTTCTGTAGTCTATGTTAGTAGGGGAACCCTCTCCCAAAAAAGGGTAAAAGGGCACTAGGGGACCTAGAACACCAGCAGGAAACTAACCACCTGGAAAGGATTGCCCCTGATCTTGAGAGCCGCCCACTCTCACCGAGGCCAAGCTAAGGGCTAAAAAAGGCCTTACCAGAGTCCCCCAGCAAACAAGGGCTTTAGAACGGCTTACAATTTGAACATTTGTCTTGGTTCCAGAGTTGTTCCCTTCAGATCGTACCTCTCCGAAAGCGATGGCTTTTGAGAAGGGCATACTTCTTCGCCGCAAGAATCGATCGGGGTACGATGCAAAGGGTATAACATGGTATAACTCTGGAGCCTTTGACAGATCTACCCATAGTCTATGGTTTCCACTCCCCCCAAACGACCCCCTGGGGTTCAATGGGGTATGGTACCCTTCGGTCTCCTCCATTTGCGAAGACGTCCCCTGGAAACAAAGAATCAGCACATGTATGTCCAGCAATGAGAAGTCGATTGTTCTTGTAGAACCCACAAAAAGTGCCTGTAAAAAAAAAGAAAAGAAACGGGAACGCCCCCACAACGATGGGTGGCCCAACCCGGTCGTTTCGTCCGCCTGCCTGGAGCTCAAAGCGCTGGCGCTGGCGGCGGGAACCCCGGCCTGTGGCTCAAGGGAAACAATTCGGAAGGAAAAGATGGAAGGACACTTGTCACCTGAGTCGACGTTGGAAGGGGAGCAAAAAAAATAGAATCTTAGCAGGTAAGAGGGTGGATTTCAACCACTAAACCACAAAAAGCAAAAATGAAAAATGTGTCCCAACGACAACCCTGTCACTTGCCGGATGAAAGGAAAAACAAAGGAAAGCCAGAAACTGGGGCTTAAAGTGCCAAAGGTGAGTTGAGTCACAATCAAAACCCGGGATCAAAATGATTGACCCAGAACCATGTCAGGAATGTAAGGAAATACAAAGGCCGCCGCTTTCTGGCTGGGAGTGTCCGGCCTTACTAACCTTCATCTACCCTGGTTTTGATTGTGGCTCATGGGATTTTGGTGGGTCTCAAGGGGGAAAAAGCTGGAAGGACCTCTGAAGTTATTTTTCTTTTCACATTTTTTTTGGGGACGCCTCCAAACCAAAACCTGAGACACAGCCCTGTTGCCATGGCGAAACCTCTTTGAGTCGCCAGGTGCCCGCCCTGCCTGGCGGGCCGGCGGGTTGAAGCTCTCCCTCGGTCGAAGGAAGGGCCTTCCTGACGAATGACCCCTAAATCGATGGGTTGCACTGGTTTAGATGGGTCTAAACTCCATTTCCCAGGGTTTCAAGTTTCCCCCGTCATTTTTTCCAAATAGAAGACCCATCTAAACCCATCTAAACCAGTGCAACCCATCTATTTAGGGGTCATTAGTCAATTATAAACTCCAATTTCCCAGGGTGTCCCCCGTGATGTTTTCCAAAAGGACGCCTCTAGGGGGTAGTAATCTAGGGCAATTGTAGGTTGGTCTTTACGTTGTTGGGGAATTATCATTCCAGGGTTTCTTAGGTGGTGCGAAATGGATTTCGTCCATCTACAGTAGGGGGTGATTCCTGTTCCATTCTGTTCAACCATCGTTCTTTCCAACCGGATCCGTTCTCCCTGGGTTTCCGGAGGTGTTCCAGAAAGAAGGATCCCTGGAAAGAATGGGGAAGGTACCCCTTGAAGTAAAGTGAGTAATGACCCCCCAAATAGATTTATCAATGGGAATCAACCCCAAATGACGGCGCCCTCAAAACGAAACACCCCCCAACTAGAGCTGCTTAAAGGGGCAGGGTACGTAGTAAAGTGAGAAATAACCATGGTCGCAACCACGAACGCCATGGTTATAACACTCCTGATCACCAGGCGCAGAAACTACTTCCTAAGTACCCGATCGCGCCTTTGAGTACCAAACGGGTAACCTGTGGGTTCCCTTTTGAATGACAGGAGAATCCATGGGTTTAAGTCTACATTGTCACAAAGTGGAAAGTTGCCACAGCTCGAAAGACGGGGGTTGCTGCTGAGAAAGTTCTGCGGTCCAAGTTGTGTTTCGTGGTCTTCTTCCATTTGGTTGAGACCCCTGGAAAAAATGAGAAAATATGTCCAGTAGTGATGAATTCCTTTAAAACCAACAAGGGAAAATAACAAATACTCTTAAGCAAAAGGAAGTCTTTGCGTCCCGCCCATTTGGAAGTCCAAGTTGAGGTGATCTGAGTGTGCCGCATGGCTGGTTGCACTGGCTGCGGCCTGAAATCTGAGCGGCAAACGCACATTGCGTCGATGGCACGACTTTTGCGCTGTCCCGTTTGAAGGAAACTCAGGACATGTTCCAGGTGTTTTGGGGAGCAAACCCAGTTTGTTTGGTGTTTTCCAGGTTCAAACCAGGGCTTTGGTCGCAACCCTGCTTTTGACCCGCCTGGCTTGCGGCGTTTCTGCCGGGCGCGCAGGTTCCTGTCTGTGACATGCCACACTCCTCTGGAACCCAAAAAGTCGACCTTTCGGCGGAGTTTGTGGGGACCCCCCTTTTTGGGACTTCTCCTCTGACTAGAGACAACAGGTCTATCTGAAGGGGGGGATTCTGCTGTGACTACCTTTGTGGGTTCCAAGTTAATTTTCAAGCGAGTGTTACTGGCTGCGTTGAGCACTGCCCTGACTCTAAACACTTCCACCCGGGAAAGGGCCGTAAAAGCGCAGACCTCAATGCACGCGTGCCTGCGCGCGGCTTTCTTCGTTTGCCTGAGCTCGAGCTGATTGGCAGTCCAACGAAAGTGCTGCCAAAAAGGCGCTTATGTTGATTATGTTTCCCACCCACCCACCTACCAAGACCGGCTGCAATAATGTCCACCTCTGATTAATAACCCCTGAATGACCCTAAAAAAAGTTAAGGGGCCAAATTTCAGGGTCAGGAAAGGTTTAGAATGTGTTTAGTATTGGGCTCTGTGTTTTTGGTTTTCGAATACTACTTTAGAATTGAGCCAATTCTAAAGTAGTAGTGGGTTTCTTTTATTATTATTTTTTCGGGGGGGATTGTTGTTAGATTTATTTAGGGGTGGTTTATTATTGGGTTCGGGAAAACGTTTAGCTCTATTTAGGGGCAGTTTACTAATCGTAGGTGGACATTATGGCATGGATCTTTAGAGAACACTGAGAACACTTTGCCTCCCCAACAGTGGCCCACAAGCTAATGCTCCTCTTTTCAAGAACCATGGAAGCTCCAAGGAACTTTGGGAACTGAAATTGCCACCAAAGAGCAATACTGTGGGATGCCGGTTGCCATCTTGTCTTGGTAAACCAACCATACGAAAAGCCACACAATTAGAGAATCAACCTCCGCTTGTCCCCTGCAGGAACCTTCACCGCATGACGAATCCGTCCAAGCCGCAAGGTGCTTCTGCAAGGCCTGGCTAGCGGTTCACGCATCTCAAGTGCTAATCCCCAGGGCGGCTGGCACCAGGGCTGGTGAATCTTGGTTGACGCCATCCCGGGCCCCGGCGCCCTATGTTTAAGCGAACGCGCTTTTTAGGGGTGTCTGTATTTACACGCTTTGCTTTCTGCTTGGGTAAATCAAAAGTCACGGGGAAAACGGCACCCAGTCCAGGCCTCGAGGCTGGCACTTTGCAGGTGCAGCGGCACATCCTCTTTCCTGTGCTCAATAAAACCCCTCACATGGCAGGTGGAGTTTACGTTTGCTTCGCCAGAGTTTGGGCCGGCCATCATGAAGAAGAACGCGGAGTTAAGCCCAGTCCTTGAAAATCCATCGGATGCTATCGTCTGGAAAAGGCACCAAACGTCCACGGAAACAAGGCAACAAACAAACCTGCTACCACTCCTCCCGTGGTCCGATGTTCCCCTTCAAAGAGTGAGAACATAAAAGGGCCCAAGCACAAATTAAAGAACAGAGGGGACGAAACTACTTGGAATGCCTCCCAAGAGCAAGCTCAGCACCTGTGTCTTTGAATAACCTTAGACTGCAACAATCAAACATACAGCTGTCGCACTGAGGATGAGAGACATACCCTCCACTCTTGGAGACTTGTCACAGCGCGCTGAAGTGCAAAATTATCTGCAGCTGGTGTGCAGTAATTGTGGACAATGGTTTATCAAGTGGCATCTTTCATTCACTTGGGAAAAATACAAATGAAACAAACTTAGACAGTAGTATGTGAAGAAAATGCGCATCAACAGTGCAGCCCAGCTTTTCAACATAGATTGTTCACCTATAAGTCTTACTTCTTCAGACATGCTTCTGCTGTAATCGATCATCATGCCTGTGAGGCAAGTTCTTTGACAGCAGAAGCGCGAGACATCATCAGAAGTAAGTAACCGCGCTTGATGACTGAGTGTGAGCAGAGGAGTCACTGTAGAAGTGATCCTGTGCAAGTACAGTCGATGGGACACTCTGCAGTTTTAAGCACGTTCAGACTCATACAGCACCACACCTGCTGTTTCACCACCAAATTGGCTCCAGTTTGAACGACAGCTGTATTACCTTGGCACCTTCACGTTGTTTGCAATTGACAGCCCTGGGAATCGAGCGCACGCAGCTCGCGCTGGTGGAACTTGAGTGCACTCCCTTAGACCACTTGGGCAGCCTGTCCTTGTTGCAAGTGCCATTGTATCATTCAGCAAGAAAGAGAGAGAAAGAAAGAGAGAGAAAGAAAGAGAGAGAAAGAAAGAGAAAGAAAGATAGAAAAACAAAGTTCTTTTTTTTTGTGGTTACTCTTTGGAGGGGGCCCCCAAAAAATATTCCAACAAGCTGAGGGCGTCCACGTGTGGTGTCTACCAACCGCCCTACTCGTCCTGCGACCATAGACCTCTGCAAGCTTCTTGAGCAGCGCCTGCAAACGCGGCACCGTTCAGGTGGCTGGCGCCCTAAAAACAAGCGCCACCAGTGGAAAGGCAATGTTGACTTCGTGTTCATCATGAATCCTAAGTGCCATACTAATTCAATTCCCCCCAAACAAAAATACAAAACACTAAAAGGTGAAACCTGGCTGGACAATAAGTTTGGATCAAAATAGGTACCCAAAATGGACCCTGCTAAATGGAAAGGGGTAGAACCTGCGGTCCCCTACCCAAATGAGGAATTTCCCATTCTTCCATTTGGTTAAGACCCCTGGAAAATAAAAATGTGCCCAGTAGTGACAAATTCCTGTTAACACCAACAAGGGAAAATAAATGTATATATACATGTATATATATATATATATTCTTAAGCAAATGGAAGTATTTGGCCCGTACAGAACTTCACGCCCCAGCCGCGAGCTCACGGCTTGCGGCCGGCTCGCCTGGCGCTTCTCGGTCTCCTGCAGGTTCTTGGCCGCCTTCTCCCCCACCCCGCGGCTCAGTGCCGAGGCCTGGCGCCGCTCCGCCTGAGCGCTTCGCGGAGAAGAGCGAAGGGCTTGGGTCAGACTGAACCTGAGATCTGGGATCGACATCTGCTTTGCCATGTCAGGAAAAGGAACAAATCCAGGCGTAGTTGTTTGTCAACCCCCCGCCCCTGGCCCTTCCCGAATGATGGAATCCCCTCAAACGACTGTATGCCACATTGACCTCTCGGGTAGTTTAAGGATATGTTCGGGGACCCGCCGCAGAGTGGACTCTACACTCGATCCGGCTCCACAGATCTAAGCATAAATCTATGCGAGGAAACCCTTGCAAAGTTGAAATAACCCTCACACAAAGCCAAAATCGCACCCATTTCTGGGTTGTTTGGTTCAGATGCAATTTCAGAAGTAAGCAAATGTGTAATTCACCCCGAATTCTAGAGGATCCGAGGCTGGGGATGCTCCTGCGATTTGTTTCACTGCTCCATCACTCTACTTTAAGGCAACTCCTCCAAGTGATGTTTACATCCACCAAACAGCAGACATGCCATGAATTTCATATGGAACCCCCTCCAAAACGGTTGGTGGACACGAATCCCCATGTAGATCTCCTGTCCACCTTTCCGGGCCCACCTTTTTGTCGGAGGCGCGTCCCTGCGGCTTCTTGCGGCCCAGGTGCTGCCGCGAGCGCCGCCTTGCGCGGGTCCTCCTCTGCTGCCTTATTGCCACCCAGTGCCTGCGCAGCCGAGTCAAGCCCGAAAGGTCTACAGGAGCCGCGAGCCCAGGTTCATCAGAGGGAACATGTGTAGAGGTTCATCACACACACACACGACAACCTAGAGCTATCTGTAGAGGGATATCACCCGCCTGGCAATTGTTGGGGGGCTGGTCACACACACGCGCCATCTATGGGCCATTATCGCACACCAGCCCCGAATGAATTTAACTGGAGACATATAAGAAACCAAAGGGAGAAAATCCAAGAAAGCATTGTTTCGCAACAATGCTGCACATACTTTTTGTGAAACGGGCAACTCATTGCACAAAGGGCTTTCTTTTGCAAGATGCGGACCAAACTGGTGAAGTTATGTTGCAGGTGCTGCAGCACTCCCCTTGGCAAGCAAGTCATCCACAGCACCCAGCATCACCCAGCGAAACCATATGAAACCAACGCCCTGGGCAAGGCAAAGCAACGGATATTTTGTTGTGTTCTTTTGGTGGGGTCCACCATTTCGAGACAAACTCAGGATGACACACGGTAAATCCTGACCGCTCCAATCGTGCCTGCCCGGCACCGACGTAAAGGCTCTGGTTGCCACCTAGGATCAGAAAGCCGAGGGCTGGCAAAGCGCGGCGTCCGCCTTGCATCCATTGCTTGACAACAAAGCTCATACGAGAGCTTCTCACAATGGAACCGCCCCCTACAGAAACAAGAGGACAGAGTATTTAAAGGCAAACCAAAAGAAACATCCTTTCTTCAAATTCGTTGAAATGCACCAATTCCTAAAAACACACACACACAGACACACACAGACACACACACACAAACAGACACACAGACACACAGACAACCGGACACACACACACACACACACAGACACACAGACAGGGACACACACACACAGACACACACACACAGACACACACAGACACACACAGACACACACAGACACACACAGAAACACACAGACACACACACACACACCATACACACACACACACCCACCCACGCACGCACGCACGGACGCACGCACGCACGCACGCAGACAGACACACACACACACACAGACACACACAGACACACACAGACACACACGCACACACACAGACACACACACACAGACACACAGACACACACACACACACAGACACACACACAGACACACACACACACACAGACACACACACAGACACACACACAGACACACACACACACAGACACACACAGACACACACAGACACACACGCACGCACACACAGACACACACAGACACACACAGACGCACACACACACAGACACACACAGACACACACACACACACACACAGACACACACAGAAACACACAGACACACACACAGACACACACCACACACACACACACACACACCCACCCACGCACGCACGCACGCACGAACGCAGACAGACAGACACACACACAGACACACACACACACACAGACACACACACACAGACCCACACACAGACACACACACAGACACACACAGACACAGACACACACAGACACACACACACACAGACACACACACACAGACACACACACACACAGACACACACACACAAACAAACAGACACACAGACACACACAGACACACAGACACACACAGACACACACAGACACACACACACACACAGACACACACAGACACACACAAACACACAGACACACACAGACACACACAGACACACAGACACACAGACACACAGACACACACAGACACACCATACACACACACACACCCACGCACGCACGCACGGACGCACGCACGCACGCACGCAGACAGACACACACACACAGACACACACACACACAGACACACACAGACACACACAGACACACACAGACACACACACACAGACACACAGACACACAGACACACACAGACACACACAGACACACACACACACACACACAAACAGACACACAGACACACACACAAACACACACACACAGACACACACAGACACACAGACACACACACACACACACAGACACACACAGACACACACAGACACACACAGACACACCCACACAGACACACAGATACACACACACACAGACACACACACAGACACACACACACACACACAGACACCCACACACAGACACACACACACAGACACACACAGACACACACACAGACACACAGACACACACACACACACACACACACAGACACACACAGACACACACACACACACCCACGCACGCACGCACGCACGAACGCAGACAGACAGACACAGACACAGACACACACACACACACAAACAAACAGACACACAGACACACAGACACACACGCACACACACACATGATACCGAATCAGCTTGAGGCGGCCAATTTTTTTTCTGGGGCTCCCGCGCTGCGTCACCTCCAGCAGCGTCGCCCCATCCGCGCTGAAGGCGCTGATCCAGCCCTTGGTGCCCTCGCCGGCGCGCGCGGCTCGAGGAGGCTCGAGGCGCGGGCGGGGCGCCCGCCTTTTTGTTGGTGCCTTGAAATGCTTCCATTTGGATAAGACCAGGGTTGTGGGTTCACTCGGGGTTTATCCAACCACTTCTGTGATACAAGGGAATATTTTCTATGAACAATTTAGTCTTTGGGAAGCCCTTTCTGTTGCATCATAGAAGTGGTCATTCCCCACAGCCCTGGTTAAGACTGATAGGGGAAAATAAAAATATGTCCAGTAGTGATAAGTTCCTTTTAAAGCCAACAAGGGAAAACACCATTATTCTTAAGCCAATGGAAGGATAGGGACCCACAAAACGGGGGGGGGGGGGAGGGGGGAGGTTCCCCCGTGTTCCAATAAAGACTTAAGCTCAAAGGGGTGGCCCTCGCCCCTTTGGCTGGTGTTTGAAGGGAATCAAAGGAAACCCTTCGGTTCGTTGCAGCCCCCCTCGAAATGAACAGAACCAGAAGCAAAAAACTAAAACACATGCCAAGAGTGAAGGGGCTGCTTCCAAGACCGTTTCTGGGGCGCAAGCTGATAGAACTGTGAAGCTTCCACCAACTACTTGTGGTTTGAAGATCCGGAGCAACCCTGCTTAGGGGTGGGCAAAACAAGCGTAAACAATCCGGAAAAATGGGGGAACCAAGAGGAAGCTTGTTAAAACAGCCTAAAATGTGCATTTTCGTTCGAGATAACTCGACAGAAGGTTACCTCGACAGGTTGCCGCTGTTCAGCTTGCCACTCGGTCATTGCCACATGCGAAGAGAAGCAAGGCGAACAGCCCACCGGTTGAAGATCCTCCTTTTGCATTCTCAGGTGACCTTACAATGGCCCAGCCCGTTTCCGGCTTTGACTCAGGTGGACCATCCCTCGGATTCTTCCGAGCATCTCCTCTCGCAACGGATCCGAATTCAATCGTTCACTCCTCAAAACGACTCCCTACCGAAAACCAACAAGCGGCGGGGGTTCAAACGTAGGGTAACCCCAAAATATGCTGCCCTGCTCAATGGAAACTTGGAAAGACTAAAACCTGCGCTCCATGTGTCCACTTGGTTTCATCTTGACCCATACCCAAAGTCATGATTCCACCTTGCCAACCCGGCCATAATCTTGATTAAGTTCCCAAACCCGGTCCAAGCCAGGGGCTTTGATTTGCGGTCGGCAAAACGGACGGTCGTTCGGCGCCTGGGAGTCTTTGGCCCTGAAACGCCGACCTAAAGGCGACGGACCCGAGCTGAAGCCCAGCGCCCCAAAAACCCCCCATTGGCATACTGGTGCCCTTCAGGTGCTTTTCCAAAAAAAAGTGTGACGGGTGGGTTCCCCTTTCAAATGCTATGGCTGGTTTCCCCTGAACATGTGGTTTCCCCTCAAACTTGGTTTTCCATCTCTCTCCCCAAAAGAACAACCCGTCCAAAACGAGGTCGAGTGGGAAAAACCTCCGCAGCGCCCGCATCGCCCCTTCGCTTCCGAGGCCCAGGCACTCGCCGGCCAGGATCTCCAGCTCAGCGCCGCGCTCCAGGCGCCGCACCTCACGGGCGGTCTGACGGCGCGGCCCGTTGGTTCCCGAGGCGCAAATGAGTCGCTGGCAATCAAAACCCGGTCTTGAAATCGTACGAGAGCCAAAGCAACGGGTGATTTGGTGCGGCAGGCAAGTAGTTGCTTAGTAAGCCTGGAAACAAACCGTTAAACTCCTGAGTCACATCCGCAACTATGTCTGGCAAGGGGATTGTCCCTTCTAACCTTCATCTACCAAAGGGTTTAGATTGTGGCTCAAATGGGCGACGTGGAGCGCGGCTTTTGGTCCCGGAGAGGCTGTTTGTTTGCGGCAGGTGGCGTTTAGGGTAGGTTTAGGGTAGGTTTAGGGTAGGTTTAGGGTGGGTTTAGGGTTGATTAGGTTGGTTTACCGTTGGGTTAGGCTGTTGCAAAAAAAAAGGGTCTTGGTGTCCCGACTGGTGTCCGTACCTTGCCAGACAGACAGGTGGGACAACTATTGTAGTGGAAACTTGCCAGGGCCCAGGGCAGGATGAATTCCCCGAAAAGGGCTCGGTGGGCGCGAAGGAAAAAACCTGGCAAGTTGCCCAGCAAGTTCTTGGATGTGCGCAAGTTCTTTGTTTGATGCATCCATCCGTCCTTTGGAGACCTTCAAACGGATAGGTAGGGCCCACGTGGGTTTCTCTGTGTGCGTGTGTCCACTTTTGGGGTACTTTTAGGGGAACATGCTTGGGCCCTACAAATGGAAGTTGAGGCCCAGAGTCAACGCAACCAGCTTGGCCTCTTCGCAACGTTCGAAGCCATGCGAAAACTAGGGGGGGACATCGGAAGCCAGCGGAAAACATTGCAAACCATGGCAACACATTGGGAAAATATGGGAAACTGTGGGGCGCAAAATTGGAAGCCATGGAGAAAACATTGGAAACCACATGGGGGGAAAAAAACAACATTGGGCAAATATGCAAAACCCTGGGGGGGGGGGGGGAAGCCGAGCGGAAACCATTGGAAATCATATGGGAAAACTCAGGCCTGAAATGTCAGCGGTCTGAGCCGGAGGCGTTTAAAGTATACGTATGACCACAAAACAGGCGTACTAAGGTTCTATGCCCCACTTTTCCCTTGGCAGAAGCGGATGGCAAGGGTTTCCTCGTTACATCCTCTGGACACCAAATTCCATTTTTTGGAATATCCGCCTCAAACAGGATAGTTTCACCTTGGTTTCCGTCCAAACAACCCCAAGAACTTACCCTCCAAAAGACGCGTTTACTGGGGTAAGTTCTACCTGACTTCAACCGGGTCTGAGAATCTGGCCATGTCGCTGTCAGTACTCTCCGCTGTACGCATCACCACCGTGGTCTTGCAAATGCAAGTGTCCTGCCAAGTGCAAGGGATGGAGCTGCGCGAGAAACCTTCTTGCAGGCACATGCTGCGAAGCCGCGCAACTTCGAAAGCAATGTTTGCAGGAATTTACAGGAGAGTATTCCTATCTCAAACCTTTTTCAAGGAGGGCAACTGGTTTTCGCCCGCAAGTCTGCTTTTTTTCCCACCCTCGAGCCTCTTTTATTTTTCACCCTTGAGTCTGGTTTCCCCGCACGGATAGTTGCGCAAACTGTGCCAACTGAGTCTGTTTTTTGGTGATGGATGGTTATGTTGCTCGGCAACCAAAAGGAAAACCATGAGTTAGGGGGTCCTCCAGAGGGACCAAACAAACGCCCAGATGCACAAACAAACTTGCCAAATGACTCTGGCTTTTTTGCATGGATGGCTTTTTGGGATGCATGGTTCTTTTGTCAGGCAACCAAAGCCACAGACAAAAAAACACACACACATACATCTGATGTATAAGCAAAACTCCCCCCGATGGACACTCAAATGGACCAAACTAACTAGGCTGGAATTGGGACCCCAGCAAAAAAATAACTTTATTGCCAGCGTAGTGGAAAACAAAGGGGACCCCAAAAAAGCAAAAAAAAAAAAGATCCTTACATTGTACACCTGAACATTGCCTTGTAAATGGTGGTTTCCTTTTATTTTGGTGGAAGAAGCCATGTTTCAAATGGGCAAAATGCATCTTTTAAGGAGCCCTGATAAAAGGGGAACTAATTCTGAGGAAGCAAACACCTCCCATCTCGCCGCTTTCTCCCGTCGGCAGTCCCCGGGTTGAATGCTGGACCATGGTTTCTCGGCCTGGCGTCGCAGGCGGTTCGGATTTCTCCGGAAGAGTTGCCGAGTTGCCGCGCGGAAGGTCCAACCCGTTGTGGGCAAATCATCAATTCCACAATCCCCCCAACAAAAGAGCCTTCACCTTGGATCCGCCGTTTTGGTGGGCGGTGGGTAAGTTTTTTTGATTTTTTATGATGATTATTATTATTATTATCATTATTATTATCATTATTATTATTATTAGTATTATTATTATTGTCATTATCATTAGTATTATTATTGTTATTATTATTATTACTATTATGATTATTATTATTATTATGATTATGATTATGATTATTATTATTATTATGAATATTATTATTGTTATTATTATTATTATTATTATATTATTATTGTTATTATGATTATGATTATGAGTATTACTATTATTATTATTATGATTATGATTATGATTATTATTATGATTATGATTATGATTATGATTATTATTATTATGATTATGATTATGATTATGATTATGATTATTATTATCATTATGATTATGATTATGATTATTATTATTATGATGATGATTATGATTACTATTATTATGATTATGATTATGATTATTATTATTATTATGATTATGATTATTATTATTATTATGATTATGATTATAATTATTATTATTAGGATATTATTATTATATTATTATTATCATTATTAGTATTATGATTATGATTATGGTTATGATTATTATTATTATTATGATTATGATTATGATTATTATTATGATTATGATATTGATTATGATTATTATTATGATTATGATTATGATTATGATTATTATTATGATTATGATTATGATTATTGTTATTATTATGATGATGATTATGATTATGATTATTATTATCATTAAGATTATGATTATGATTATTATTATTATTATGATTATGATTATGATTATTATTATTATTATGATTATGATTATTATTATTATATTATTATCATTATTATGATTATGATTATGATTATGATTATTCTTATTATGATTATGATTATTATTATTATTATTCTTAGTATGATTATGATTATGATTATTATGATTATGATTATGATTATGATTATTATTATTATGATAATTATTATTATGATTATTATTATTATATTATCATTATTATTATGATTATTATTATTATTATTATGATTATGATTATGATTATGATTATGATTATGATTATGATTTTGATTATGATTATTATTATGATTATGATTATGATTATGATTATTATTTTTATTATGATTATGAGTATTACTATTATTATTATGATTATGATTATGATTATTATTATTATGATTATGATTATGATTATGACTATTATTATTATTATGATTATGATTATGATTATTATTACTATTCTGATTATGATTATGATTATGATTATTATTATTATTATGATTATTATTATTATTGGTCGCCGTCCGAAAATAAGAAATGGACCCCCAAGGCAAGGAGCCTCACTGTGACGTCACAACTTGTCGGATGCTGCACAGAGGAGAACGTGCTTTGGCGCAAGCTGGTCCGCTGTGTTTGGACATATGGCCGTGGCTCAACACCAATGGTACCAACTTAAGGTAGGTGCACCACCCATTTTAGAACCTATTTTCGTGAGGATTGGGATGTTCACTAGGGGTACGATTTGGGTTTTGACCCATAGCCATATTGGTTTTGAGCCCCGCGGGTTTCCCTTGATGCCCTACAAAGGAGCGGTCGAGCTCCTTTAGCATGTCTCTTGCTTGGATCAACTGACTTGTCGGAGGCACCAGTTCGAGTCCTGGACAAAACTCCCAAAATGGATGGATTCCCTTTGGTTTCCTTTCAAAGCAACTGCAGAAAAGGGGCAATGCGATCCTTCACTTTTGGGGAAACACCCGCCAGGCCCAAAAACATATATGGGTGGTTTTTAATACGAAACCCTTTGGTAGACATCATTTAGGTTGGGGTTCATGTCCACCAACCCCTTTGGAGTTGGTTCCCTATTGAAATTCATAGGCCCAGACAAACGACGCTCCAAGTCTCGCCAGCAGAGCAGCCGTCTCCGGCGCGGGCGCCGGCGCCGGCTCGGGCCGCTCGGCTCGGCGGAACATGGCCGCCGAGTTGGCTGCCACGACGCTGACCCAGCCTGCCGGGCGCCGGGGCTTTTCCCCGAGTCGATCAACGACCTGACATGGAAGCTGACGTTCGGGACCCGGTCTCCTTTAAGAGGACAATTATCTTCCAGGACCCCCCAAACCTCAGGTTCCATGTTCAAGATGGTAAGGCCCGAGTTAGATGGACGAATGTGCCTAAGGGCTCCCGATATTTCAGATTTCCCCTACATCACCCCACCAGGAGACTCCAAGGAGCATGGCCCAAAAGCCAAAAGCTGGAGGTTGAAATCCTTACCCCACAGGCTCCAATTCGATCGACTTAGGGCCTTCAAACCAGGTCTTGAGACCCCGAACCTCCGCGTTGTCGAATGGGCCCGGGTCTTCCATTGAAAGCAGGAGCCTCTGGGTAGGGAAACTTCGGGAGCCCGGGCTTTTTGTTATGACATCCCCCCTACCTTCAGGAGGGGGGTGGGGGGTCCCCAGTTCCATTTATCTTTTCCCACAAAAGGGAAAGTGGAACCACACCTGGTTTGATCTCCAGGTGTCACCCCCCTCCCCAATTCCAGTTTAAGGGGGTGAACAACTGGATCAAAGCGCTCCCGGCCAAAAACCTCCGCTGGAAGGCCCGACGCCTTCTTCGCCCTGGGCACGCACTTTGATGCGCTTCCCGGTAAAGCCGCTGCCCAGTTCTAGGACCTGAGCACGCGGGCTTCCATTCGGTGAAGACCCCTGGCTTTTTCGTGAGACAACATGTCCAGTGATAAAGTCCTTTTAAACACCAACGAGGGAAAATATAAACATGACTCTTAAACAAATGGAAGACAACCCTCCACCCCTCCCTCAAGAAAAAGCAAATGGTAGCAACCCCGCGAGGGGGAAATCGCAAAAAAAAAGAACTTCAGCAAATGGAAGCTGGGAAGCCAGGACTCCGCGACACACTGGGACCGTCTGCCCAAGAGAAGGTGTTTGTTTCCCCTTCGCCTTCAGGATGCCTTTGGAAAGCACAAGCGCATTTGGCGGTGGGTCCAAAATAGGGTAACCCCAAAATGGCACCCTGGTAGATGGACACAATGACTAAAACCTGTGGTCCCCTGGTGGTTTGATTTGGACCATACCCATTTGGATCCATTGCAAAGTCTGCAGGACGAACTGCTAAGCAGTTAAAATGGGTGAATGCTGCTGACTCTAATTTTGGAGTTGGTATTTTGGAGTTGGGTACGAGCAGCAACAGACATAAGTTCTCGCCAGCATGCAACATCACAACTCAATGTGCTTTAAGCCATCCCAGCAAGGGGTAGGTAGCAACTCCACGAAAAGAGCGCGCACACACACACACATATAAGTAATGTGAGCCACAATCAACACCTAAGTGAGGAGTGGTTCAAGTTTAAGGACAGTCTTGCTGTGACTAGAGGAAGCGCTCTGTTGATTCTTTACCACGAATTTCGGGTACACCTTAACGCGATTGGTGCCAACTTAAAATGTCCGAAGCTTCCCTCGAATTGATCCCTTGAACAAAAAACAACTCTTAAAAAGAGGCGGTTTAGATCCATAAACTGGGCCAGAATCAGGCACCCTGGCAAAAACGTCCACATCTTGCTGGCTAAAACCAACATTATACAGGTAATGTCGAGAGACGGCAAGGTGACGTCCCGTGGGACGCTGTCCACCGAACCCTCCAGCTGTGTGAACTCAACCACGTAGAAAGGTGTATACGGTCAAACCGTTATAGCCGAACCAGTGTAAATCGTTGTAAGGGGTAAAGACCAATGACCACGGTTGTACGCTCAGTATCCGCAGCACGAATGAAACTGTTTTCCACTCTATCTGATCGATCACGTGCGAACGTAGTTCATGCAAGACCTTGAGCCCTACTTGTGACTTGAGCCAAATGGCATTCAATGGAACACTCTAACCAACAAGAACATGGACCTCAGAACAGCTCCCCAATTTAGGCACGGGGCCAGGAGGGTTTTAACATCCCCCATTTGGGTCGCATCGTTCATCATGCGGTCCAAACATCATAACACGTTCCACTGGCCACGGCTCCGACTACGAAACTGTGTCGAACACTCTTTCATTCACTATTGCTACACCGTCCATTCATTGTGAAACTTGCCGGGTTCAATTGAGACAGAAACATGCATCCGCAAATCGTAGCACATTCCCATATATGCAACAGGCATTTTGCCTCGCACCATCACGCAACCATTGGAAATCCCGGCTGCCGCATTTGCGCATCGCGCAGCCGTCATCCATAGAAATGGGTTGGCCATGGAAATCCATAGCAGCGCATGGTCGTAAGTCATCTGTATATCATCGGCAAAGAAGATTTGGCGAGCAATATATGCAAAAAATAGCCATTCCAGATACCACGAATAATATAAGGAAAAGAAAATCATCCATGAGGTAATAGTGCACATCCATGAATATCCGGAATGTCATAGCCGTCGGAATATGTAAATACATACACATCCATTCTCCTTGGACGCATGAAATTACATCATGTTAAAAGAAATGTTCCATCGTAACGAAATCGATGAGACGCAAGCGATGGATGGGGACTAGCCGCCTAGCCCACATCATGCTGCAATCTATATCGATGTGAATTTTGTGTGCTGCTGCTGATGGATGCACCATACCGCATAAGCAATGATAATCCACATCTGCATCACGTAGGTCGGTCCAGAATGGACATCCTGTTGATGCGTCGACGGAACTCTTCGTCCAAATGTTGTTGGGCATCTCGTGCCCAAACGCACTTCTTGTGATGCTCTTCTGGGAGCCAGTGTCCCTTTCGGAGACACCAATCCAGCAGGGGTGCGTCGCATTTATTCGGGTCAGTTGCCGCAATAATGGCACTCACGTTGACCGAATAACCATGTCTGCCAAGGTTCAATCCTGCCCTTGTGAACGATATATATTTGCAGTTGAAAGCCAGGGAGAAGCATCTGTAAACAATATCACCCACCGGGTGTATGCGATCCTTGACCAGGAGCTTCATCTCGTCTTTGGTGATGTCGAGGATCTTCGCTGCAATCCACAGTTTGTAGAATATGTACAGTCCCTCGCATTTGGATACCAAATAACGGATGTATTGGTTGCGCTCCTCCATCATTCGGAAGGTCCTTGCCCGGACGTTCTGAGATTGGGTAACCTTTTGTTCCGTTGATGGCATAAGGATCCCTTCCTGATCAAACACAGTGACGTTGGGGTACTTCCCGAAGTCGTTGTGGTATGGGCAAGAGATGGTTCCCTCGATCGCGGCTTCGATCGTTCTCTTTTCTCCACCCTCGAACATCCCCCACATCTTTGACATCTGCAGTGCGATGAATCCCGCCATGTATTGAGCCTCTCGTGGCTCGTCCAGGCAGATCGCCATCCGCTGGGAATTAATAATGTCCCGTGATGCCATGTCATTGTCGCGGTACTCCCAACCACCGTCTTCTTCTTCGGACATGTAGCCAGATGTGTATCCTTGCGTGTCCATGTCGTCGTCTTCGGAATCGTTTTCCGTCCCATCACCCTTTTCCTGCGCCGCCGCGTTGTCGCTAGCCTCATCTTGCGCTCGCCTGGCGTCACCTGACACATTGGGTCTATGGTCGTCCCCTTCGTCATCGGAACTGATGTGGATGCAGAATCTCCCGGTAGAGATTAATTGCGCCCCACATTCCAGGCATACACAGAAGCACGTGGGAATCGCGGTTGCACATGACGAACATATTCGGCATCGTAGCCCCTCCCATGTCTCGTCGTTCAGGATGATGGTCTTGCTGATCTCGTCCCTGATCTCGTTGGTCAGAGCATCAAACTCTTCTAGTTTGTTTTCCCGAAACAGTTTGCAGGCACGATCCACCATGTCTTGAACGTAGTGCAGATTGTCGGCACCCGCCTCTGTCTCAGGCATTCCCTCGATGATCTTTGCGACGTTCTGAAGGAACATCGTGGTCGACTCCTGGGAAGAACCAACGAAACCCGGACAGATCTCATCTAATTAGTCATTCTCAACACATTTTGAGTACGCCTGCTTGATGCTCTCGTACTCCAGGCATTTCCCTCCGTTGCTTTTGCCAATCCAAATGGACTTGACCTCATAGAACGGGATCACGTCAAAGACCATAAAAGTCCCGTTGAACGCGACTCCAGCTCCGTATCGCGCGAGGGTCGCACTGGGAATGTAGATGATTGCAAGCGGACCTCCAGCCCTCACATTTCGTAGCGTCGTCTTCGTTGCTACGTTCATCTCATCCCATGGAGCAAATGCCCCGAAGTGCAATGCCAGCCTGTTTCCGCCATCAATTCCGCCGGGGACTAGCCCACAGCGTACAATGCTTGGCAGGTTCTCCACGTATGTCACATGGAATGCTCCTCCGAGAGAATCACCCATGCTTGCAGAGTACCTATTTGCCAGTGCGGATGAGCTCATGAAGCCAAAGTCACTGTGACCAGTTGTGACTCGGATGCACCAAGACCTGTACCATCCATCGCATCTGCTGAATATCCTTTCGATGTCACCCTAGTTCAACTCCTCTCTGGCGGCCTTCATGTCATTCGGGTTCATGATGCTTGGAAACCTTGCTGCTAGGATCTGGAACCTTGATTTCTTGTACCCAGATTCCTGCCACTTGATCACTTCCATGATGGCCATGTAGCGTCTTGCTTTCGAAGTCGTCGGTGGAAATATGTCGTTATTCCGGTCGTTGATGACCGCGTCAATGTCAACCCATCCACCTTCATCACATCTGAAAGCACAAACTCGGCAATTGCCGATCTTGTGTCGAAGGACTCTGCATAGATCGTGAGATAGCTGATTTGCTTGATCTCTCGATGCAAACACTGAGCGATCGTCGCCGATCTTGCAGTGCGGAGCGCCGTCTTGCCAAGCTGTATCACGTCAACCTGCTCCAGGACGGCACCCTTGGGGAAGAACCTGGGATCTACCATAGACGTATACGCCCATGACATTTGCACGCTGCTCACTTCGCCAAACTTCGGAATGTAGCATGGAGTAGTGTCACATCCTCGCTCTAGCGCCGCCTTGAACGTCCTGTGATCCCCGCACGGATTGTAGGTGAGATCCACGCCACCGCATTGTAGCTCTCCCCCTTCAGCCGTGTCAGCCATCTCCAACAGGTTGATGGTGTAGCTATACATGTCTATTATTTCTTTCCCCTTCTGTCCTCCTTTCTTGCGTTCCTTGGATGTCGATGATGACGGTTCTTCAGCATCCCCCATTTCTTCATCCGAGGAAACGTGATCGCTGCTGAGAAGCTCACGGATCTTCTTCATCGCCTTCTCGTTTCCAGCAGCCTCCTCATTATTCTTGCAGTCGCCGTCGTGGGCCAGGTTCGCGCACTTTGCACAAATTCTCATTTCTCCCACGCACTTCTCCATTGAGTCCAGGAACTTGAGTGCAGCTTTTCGCCCATCAATCACGCGCTGCTTCTTCTCCTCTTTCTCCTCATTGGGCTGAGAGCTTCGGCTCTGGTCTGGCTCTGGACCAAAACCATCGCCTTCACTCTCAGTTGCCTTCCTCTTGGACCCTTGGTTGGCATGCTCGGTCACCAGGGATTGCGGATGCCTGGGCTTGATCGAGCTCATGATGTCCAACACCTCTTTTGTGGGCGCTCCGAGCTGGGCGGACGGCTTGTTCCGCTTTCGGTTTTGGCCCGTCGTGTGGTTCACGTTCCCCGCGA